ACCTCCCTGATGACAAGGCCGACCGTGTTGGTCTGCGGCCGACGGATGCTGGTTCAGTATCATTCGGGTGGTTCCGGGTCGGAAAGAACCAGTCGCTACGATGAATGCAACTCAAGCCCGAATCATTGATAATCGTTGTATTTTCTCAGAAATTCATTAAGCCATTAAGCAGCTTCATTTCTTTTGTGGTTTCGTACGCAAAGATGTGCACTTTGGCGATGGGTAGTTTGGGAAAGTGTTTGTTGCATCTTATGCATCATTTGGTCTTCAGTTGTTGAGGGCTTGTGGTAGGCATTTGGATCTCAAGGAGTCCAGGGGAAACCTTTGGTCCTAGCATTTCTGCGGGACATACATGGCTTTTTTCTGCCACATTTCTGGTACTGTACACCGAGCTATTCTATCTTGCAGTGGACAACCACTGGTTACTTAAGTGACACTGTTGGCCCTTTGGCATTATATACAGCATTGTACAAAGAGGACATTGATCAAAGATCCTGCGGCAAAAGAGCTATTTGAAGCAAGAATAGTTAGTTTAAACAATGGAGGTCTTAGTGTTTCGATTTGATGTTACTATGCTGTGAATCATCACGGGAGGACACTCCAGGTATACGCAATCCCCCTGCAGAATGTGGATAGCATCGGGATACGTCACGGGCTGATTCATGGTTCCCAGGTTCCTCTTTGGAGGACTTCTTCAGTAGCACTTCTTCGGCTCCGAAGAGATGTCTATGTGATGTTGGTTTCAATTCCGAGGTCTCCCAACGGGACCAATGTTGGCACTTTCCAGAGTTCGATGGCTTTAGACTGTGAATCCAAGTGGCGCCAGCTAGTGACCTTGACTGCTCAGTCCGACTCGGTCCTGCTTCCGTTTTTGCTGGTCCTTTGATCTCAACGCTACCAGGGCACTGGCAGAGCTCTGGTCACTTTGCTTGGAGTCCAACTTGTTTAATAATAATAATAGTAAACGACAATGCTTATCCGAGAGTGTTTTTCAATGTTCTTCACTGAAAGGCCGAATGTTTGCGCTCATCCTCGGGATCTTGTGCACATCACAGCTTCCCCGCATACTTGTAGTTGGAATCTTCCTCTTCCCTACCGTACCCCTCCAGTTGCCACTGTGGTAGTTGTAGAATGTTGTATATAGATAAATTTAAGAATTCAATAAGAAGGTATACAAGAAGCTACTAGGGGCTCCTGGCATCGCTACTGAGCAAGGACGCTACTAGGAGCAAAGGGCATCGCTACTAGGTATACGGGCCCCTTCTATCTCCCGTAGGTCCCCGAGGTGGCGCCGGGCGTGCCGTTGGGCCCTCGTTTGGTGCGATGGATGGAGGGAAGGACGAAGGAGATGGGGAGACTTAGTCTGCAGACGAAGCGATATAAACTGGGGGACCAAAAAGATGTTTCTTGATGGAACCTGCAGTGTAGGAGCCATACTCAAGTGATTAGGACATGGAGGGGAGGACATGGGATAGGGGGTTGCATAAACAATCATAAACACAACTGACCAATGGTATCATCACAATGCGGTGCATTCATTTGTTGGTCTGGTTACCGAGTCTGGTTCGACCATTTCAACTGGGCAGAGCCTTTGCAGATCTTTGGAGGATCGGGCACCCGGGATGGGTGAGCACCTTCCCATCGAGGCTAGTTTATGAGCTGGATGGAAACTTGAAGGTCACCAAGAAGTGCGACTCTGGATGGGTCTGGGGTCTGGCAGCGTGTTTGGCCGGTAGGCAGCTTGGACCTCAAAGGCAAAAAACCTGATCCTCTCTTGTTTCAAGATCTAGCCTCTATGGCTCGTGATGATGAAGTCTTGCAGCCCAGTGAGCCAAACAAACAAACAAACAAACCCAACTTTTCCTAACTCAGGGGTTGCAACCTAACTATTCCGCTATATATTCTGCTACATTATTTATTCTGGGTTGATGTGGTCAGAACATGTTCGACATTTTTAGGGGGTCCCATGACCCACACTCATATCATATATATACTTTTTGTTTCATTAGACCCTTCACCGTTTCATTCACCCCAAAACGGACGCAGCAGCATTGTTTTCAACTCTAGACAGCAAATGCTGAGTCAAGGGGAGAAAGTCTTTGGAACAGCACATCCAGAAACCAGGATAATATTGACAGATCCCTTTATGTCGCTGATTTGTCGCATGTACGCAAGAAACATGATGATGTGGGCAATATGTAGGACGGTGAAAAAGAGGTATACACTTTGTTTGACGCATAGAAGCAAGACCCATATAATCATACACGTTTTGAATTTAAATCCGACACCGGGTCCGCAATTTCCTGTGTTTCCTTATGGTGCTCAGCACGTGCTTGGTAGTTTTAGAGTCCATGATGGTCCGAATGAGATAGGTTGCGGTTTTCTGACGTTTCAGCAGGGAGAGCTGAAGAAACCTTATCTGCTGAAGTTCAGGATCTACCAAGCTTTCACAGGACCAGCAATGCTCTACCAAAAATGTTCGCGCAATATCTATCTAAAAGAAACTATATAATGGCATTGCATTTGTTTGGGCATGTTTGGGCCACAATGCTGAAACACCAGTGTTGCAAGGGAAACGAAGTTCTTCCCGGAAGCAAAGTGCTCAGGTTTCATGAGACTGTCTACACACAAGTGTACCTATGAAGCCCCTACGTTACGTTCTTTTTCCCTTTCTATTTTGAGATCCACTTCAAACAGCTCACAGAGTCCTGATGCAGACTTGAGTCAGAGGTGGTTGATGGACGAAATCCTACACCAGGGAGGTCTGGAAACTCTTGTCCCATCAGTTGCGGATTAAATTTCTATGCTTCGAACTATGATAAGAATATTTAAATAACATCCCTACCTTTGCGGAGTTCACATCCACCTTCGTTCGAGTTGCCGTCCGGTCGGACCTGTCCGTCTGGTCCCGTGGAGTCTGCTCGTCACCGCGGTCCGTGAGTTTGGTGTCCTGTTTGGATGTTGGGAGTCTCTGACATACCGACATACCGGACTCTGGACGTGCGGAATCCTCCAAAATTCCTGGAATCAGCACAAAAGCAGTGCTTAGTAGCTGGCATCTGTGCAGACTTGGGAGGTATTATCTCGAGGATGACTCAGTGGTGCAGAAAAAGCTCGGCACTGCAGCAGAATGAGTGTGGGACGTCAGAAGGGTTTGATGGCCTTCACCATATTCATGAACATTCTATGCCTCAACCTTCCCAGGTTGGCACTTCTGCAATAGGCTGACTATCCGATCCATTCTATACTTTTGCCTTGATGTCTTACTTCGGGCCCGGCTGGGTCATAATTTCTTTCGATCATGTTTCTGAGCAAACAAATCAAAAGTATGTCGGCGATGCAACCTGGAAGGTTGAGTGAATGTTGCCTGACCTAAAGAGATTAACGTTCTCAACCGAAGTGGCTGGTTCACCTGGCAGCCACTTGACTTGTCCCACGAATGCTAGGCCGAAGGCCGAAGACCGATTTGAAAAAGCAATCTGGTTCGCACAAGCTCTTTCTTGTTGTCGGGTCTTGGTGTTTTCACATCAATGTATTTGTTTGTCATTCAGCTTACCCCATATACTCCCTAAACCTGAGAGCTGGGTTTGGGTTTGGACACCAAAGACAATCCAAAGACCATTCATTGATCATTGAACGCCAACAATCCACATGGAGGCATGCTTTAAATGAATACATTTTCAGAACACTTCCTGCATATCCAAGAGGTGTTCCGGAGCTTGGTACCTTCCAAAATGGCATCTACAGCACTTTATTCCACATTTATACGTGTTTAGAAGTATGTTGGGTCGTTGCAGTGAACAGAGTCCAGATATGGAAGAAATGATCTCTGGCAAGAGGATCGGTGTCGGTGTACCCTGTGCAGGAGCGATTGAATAGGATGTGCTTTGGGAGTTCTATCCAGCGGCACCATACAGAGCAGTTGTGATGCACTTGGTGACAGCAAGTGGCTGCAATCGCACTGCAAGGGCGCTCAAAGTAGCACCCCATCGGAGCTGTGATCGCAACAAGAGCCGATCGCAAAATATTTTCGCCGAGCACAGGGTTGGGGATTTTTGGCTGATGTGTGGGTCACACCTTCAAAATCTTGGGCGGGAAACTGGGGTTGTGCTGATCCCATTGCAAATCAAACGATGCAACAAGAATGTAGTATCTGCACGTAGAACTCTCATGTCAATTCTGTAGAGGTTGACAGTGTGATGTCCATTGGCCAAAATCCATGTGGTCTTTGTTTCGGTGGGCTGAAAGGTTCAAGAAGTCAACCTTTGTATTTCCCAGATTATGATTATGGGACATGCTCCATGGTGAAGACTTCAGGGCTGCAGGCAGCAGCTTAGGATTTGAATCGAGCTACAGTAAGTATACTGGGAAGTCCAAATTTCAGAGTATGTTTTTTGCTGGCTTTTGTCTTGCGTCGTCTTGGGAACCACTTGTCACCTACAGCCTACACAGTATTTGCCACAGGATGAGTTCATTCCGTCAAAATCGGAGCGAGGTGAACCAGAGACCTGGCCCCTTTAGCTTGACCTCCCCGATGGGTCAACCAAGATATCTTCATCTTGACCCACAGCCACATAGTGTGTATCACGGCCAGACAAAGGTGACGAAGAAGTGAATGGCATCCACGATCCTTAACTCCCCATTTTCAAGTGATCCAAGAACTTTGATGGACGGGATTTATCTCAAGTCTAGACTCAGCCAGGAGTTTCCTCTCTGAATTGAAATGCCGCATGTGATGAATCTGTTTCTCTGGCCTCCCCAACTAAGTGTCCCTTTGGAGGAGCAGATAGGTACCAGTAATTAGCAGGATATCCAGGATGCGCCATCCGCATCAGCGCAACATCTTTCAAGGGCGCCACAAGGCTGGTACCAGAATCAGTGCCGTGTTATTGCAAGGGCTGAGAAACTGCAGCGTGCTGGTGGTTTGGGAATGGGGAGTCCTTTTTTGCCTTGCACAGGTCCTTTGTATAATTTTGTATAGCCGAAGAGCTTGCGGCAGTAGCTTATTTGGCTCGAGCTTCAGATCAATTTGAGCCATGGGCGAGCACCCGAAGCTTGGAATACGGCTGAACAGGCACGTCAGGGCTTGTCCTTGGGCACTGTCATAACCTGTATAATGGTAACATCACAATAGTAACCCCCCCGAAATGAACAACAATATTTTCATTTTTTGGGGGTAGGTCAAAACTGTCAACCTCAATAGAAAGCCTCCAGGCCATTTGGCAGAGGGGATTTGACAGAGGGTCTTTCATTTTGCTCCATTCTGCTTTCATTTGCTTTCATGTTGCTTTCATTCTGCTTTCATTCGCTTTCAGTTTGCTTTCATGTGCTTTCATGTTGCTTTCATTCTGCTTCATTTTGCTTTCACTTGCTTTCATTATGTTTGCTTTCATTCTTCAGGAATTAAACGTAAAAGCGAAAGCACAAGATAACTAACAAGGCAGCAGGGCTGCAGGGGGGTTGGAGTCTAAAGGGGTACCCTTTGAAGATACTTGTTTGAATTTGTTTGATAGGGTTTGTATAAGGAAACCTAAAGCTTTTGGCTAGCCAATGTTTTGGAAATCTGATGGGCAAAGATTAAACATAAAATACAGATTCCACAAAAGAAGAAGACACAAAGAAAGAAGAAGACGAGACGATAGGAGAACTTAAAAGCAAAAGGGAAAGCACAAGGCAAGGACAAGCCAGCAGGGCTGGAGGGGGGTCGATTATTGTAAGTTTGTTTATAACTGCAGGACTAAAAAAGGGGCATTTGTCGAACAGAGTTTTGTATTTGTTTGATAGGGTTTGCATAAGGAAACCTAAAGCTTTTGGCTACCCAGAGTTTTGGAAATCTGATGGGCAAAGATGTAAAAAATCAAAGACACCACAAAAAAGAACAAAAAGAAAGAAGAAGAACAACAACAGAAAAGGAATATGATATGTTCTTTTAAATCTGCCTGAGATGTCTGAGACACAATGAAAAGAGAACGCTTTCTGATTTTTGAAGGCAAATTGGGATCTGAGAGAAAAAAGTTGATCATTATTGTGCCAGGTTTATATATAATTATTGATTCGTCAATTTTTTAAAATCCATTTTGGGGTTTGGATGTTGGCGCAATTAAGTAGTATTGTAAAATCCGGGCAGGCCAAACACCAGATTATTATTGTATCATGGTCATGGTTCATTATTGGGATGTTAACATTAGATGGAAATAACTTATCACAAGAGCCTGGGCATTGTGACCAGCTGAGTTCTCTTATTTCAGCTAGCTGCTGTCTCTAGTTCAGATTTCGCCTGAATGATTTCTGCGCTGCTCGTTGTCAGAAAGTGTGGCAGTTATTTTTTGCCCACCTGTCAGGTGAGGTTAGAATTTTAAAGATAGTCTGCTCTTCCTCCTCCTTCCTTCTTCCTTCATCCTTCCGCCGCCCCAGATTGCGGTGGGCAGTCTCGCACCTCAACAATCGCCACGACCACAACACACAACACAGAACACACAACCACAAGCACAATCACAGACCCACAATCACAAACCCTGAGCACACAATCACAAACAGACAGCCACAAACACAAACACAAACACGCAATCACAAACACGCAGTCACAAACACACAACCACAAATACACAACCACAAATACACAACCGCAAGCACACAACCACAAACACGCAATCACAAACAGACAACCACAAGCACACAACCACAAACACGCAGTCACAACCACAAAACCACAAACACACAATCACAAACCCTAAGCACACAATCACAAACAGACAACCACAAATACACAACCACAAACACATACACAAATACAACCACAAACACGCAACCACAAACACACAACCACAAACACATACACAAACACAACCACAAACATACAACCACAACCACACAACCACAAACACACAACGACAAACAGACAAACACACCCACAAACACACAACCACAACCACACAACCACAAACACACAACGACAAACAGACAAACACACCCACAAACACACAAACACAACAATATACTGTAGTTACTGTGTGTGTGTGGCTTTTTGCGTGGCAGGTAGCACTTTGGATGCCAACCGGAGACCCTGGCGACACCCCGACGCGAACTCCCTAACTCTAAAATAACCATCCCAAACCCGAGGACCCACAAGCAAAATAAAAATAAACACAAAGCCCACAACCATGGCAACATGCTCTTCGACCCTTCACCATGGCATGAAACCAAATCATTGAAATGTCATGGCGGGGATCATTCTATGTTCTTCCTCTACTATGCTGAGCCTAAACGACCCAAAGCACTGGCTCCGTGATAGCTGGCTTCACCTCTAATTTGGCTGGTGTATGAAGGTCCTCGATCTACTGAAACATTGTGAAAACATGTGCATGTACGAAGATCCTGTTTCTATCCACACATCCGAGAAGAGAGTTCACTATTCAACATGTTGAACGTATCTGGAAAGTTTTACTTGCGGACAATATTTTAGCAACACACAAACACACCTTGCTTCCTCCAGTTCCCAAAAGAAAGTTTGACAGAGTTGCCACAGCACCAGCAACAGTAGCAACACAATTTCCACCCAAACTTTTGTTTAAGGTGGAAGGCTGAGGGATGAGGGATGCGTCTACATACAGTTTTTGAAACGACTGTAGTGTCCAACTTCGCAGTTTTGAAACTCAAACACACAAAGTCAACTGGCTCACATTCATTACAAGAGCTCAAGACTCCGCCTCCGAACGCATCCCGGCGTGTAGAACAAATCCTGAGGACCACTTGAAACCCGGAAAACATGATGTCAGGTAGGACATGGTAGGATGGTCCACAAGTTTTTTCTCTTTTACCGCCAGCCACAAAACCGCACAAAGTCCCACAAAAGAACCCTCCTGTCAGGAGGAACCCATCCGAAAACCCTACCGAATCCAAAGGCATTGTGGACATGGCACAACTAGCGCTAAGTTTGCTAAGTCCAACAGTTCATGGGTAAGCAGCTGCGGAAATGCAGATGATAAATCGGATAAATCAGAGATGATACTTGTTGATGGAAGAACCCCGGAATACCCCGGAATGTCACCCACCCGGAATCGGCCTATACTCCCTTTTTTGCAGCTAGTGGTACTCCAGCAGGCCTAGGTTTAGAAATATCACAAATCCCAAACCCGCTGCATAGTATTTACAAGCTAAGTTGAGATGGATCTCTTATATATACAGATCAAAAATTCAGTGACTACAGGGCAACCAGAACTCCAGAGGATCACTCACCATCCGGAGAGCGGCGGGAGGATCTGCTGCATCGGAGCGGGCTATGTGGGCGGCCCCACCATGGCGACCATTGCATTGAAGTGCCCACAGCTGGAGGCCAGAATTCGCCGAGCCACACTGGTTGACTTGTCATGTGTATAGGTTTGCTGGCTCTTTCTTGTGAGCAGGCGATCCCTGAAGGTCATTCTTGGATGTTCTTCTTTTATGTAGTGTTGATGCGTCTGACAATGAAAAGACTGAACTTTGATCAGTGTTATAGAGTTAAGTGCTCAGATTTCCCAAGAAGTCTGCACCTGAAGCTGTACTTAGGTGTGACACAGATACCTAAAACATCCTAAGACCCTAAAATAACAGTCAGATCTAACATCTAAAGAGTGTTGTGGGTATCCTTGGAACCGGCAAATGATTGCATTGATTTTGAGTGGCAGAGGGTGTAAACAAACCAGCTTATTGTGGTAGGTGGTGATTGTGGACATGAATGAGGCAGGCTGGAAGCGGGTGTCTTCAGACCTATTCTTGTGCTAAGCAACGCAAGTTTTTGTATTGTTTTGCAGCTGGGCGGAAGTAGCTCGGCAGGACTGTGCCTAGTATCCACCTCATGCTTGCAAAGAGATGGTTTTGTGATGTTTTCTGTTCAGTGCTGCCCATCATCCACTTGATGTTGTTTGTTTTAATGTCCTAGCGGAGTCAGCTGACGCGACGCTATTCCCTGCACCCGAAAGATGTCTCAGATGGCATGGCCAACTTGCCAACAGTTTTTCACCTTGATGAACCTTGCTAGTGGTATGAACCCAGCCATTTGAAACCTTTTCTTCGCCAGGAGTGCGTTTTCGCTTCTGCTTGATGCACCTGATTTGATCCCGTCTTGTCTCGTGTCGAGGACCGTATCAACCGATGGAACTCCGACGATCTCCCCATCTATGAACCAGGTCTACCTGAGGTGGTGAAGGCGCAAAAAAGGGCTCGGTGGAGAGGGGAGACAGCACGAAGTTCGGCTTCGCTCAGCCCGAGCTTCTTCTTCTTTTTGCGCACGCGCGTGGGTGCGTGTGCGTGTGTAATGATATATATATATATATATATTGAGGACATTACACTCGAACTGAGAAAGTTCTATCACCAGCCGCTAGCCATTTAGTGGCAAGCAAATGATACATCCTGAAACACTTGGTTTTAGCTCTTTGCTGGGAGTCCCAAGTTGTCCACCTAGGATAAAGAATATATAGAGATACATAGAGTCTAGAGGAACTGAGTCGGTTTGTTTCCAGGCAGTGCAGATTGGAAGAGCACTGAACGGAACGTTTGGCTTTTCCAACTATTACATGATCACATAGACATTCTCCCCATTCTATGGTTTTGGCGATCATCTGCGTTTTAAAACTCGGTAGTTTCGGAGCTTCGGTACCTTTAAAATCATAACGATTATAAAGTGAATCGAGATAATCGAGCAGCTTTGGTTTCTGTCAGCAACAGCACGGAACTACAAAAAGGAGTCCCAGAACTTTGTGAGAATTTTGCACTAAGTGCCATGTGCTCATCCTTGGCTCAACGTTTGAAGCCGGCAAGGCCTGTCGTGGGAAGAACCTGTTTTTCTCCACCGATGTGAAAAAAGGCATCGAGGAGCACATTCGCAGCAGATGTGCGCTCGCGAAGCCCTTGGGCCGGAGATGTCAGGTGTCATGTCAGTCGGTCAGAGTCGCAAAAATAAGATAGTACAGGGTCAATCGCTCAACTAAAGTATACAGTATGCTTCATAAACTGGCAACCTGTATATTGTATGCAGGAAACGTGTTCTTTCAAAATTAAGGTGGGTAGTACAAAGATACACGATTGGGGCAGTTCTCCAAGACGTGCAGCGGTTCACCATGGTCACTGAATAGCCAGCACATCACGTGTTCAGATGACTGAATCTTACAGGCTTTTGAGCCACATCATGTTCACATCCACGCACATCCATAACGATGGCTTTGGATCAAGTATGATCAAACCTAATCCCCCAAAGTCCCTAGAAGTCTATTCGGTGACAGCTTGGAACCTGGAACCGGTGCTTGGCCCGGGCGCGGACCGTGCCAGGAGTCAGACATCATTTTTGCTTCGGTGAACACTCCGACGAAGACGCAAGGACGGAACACCTTTTCCAACACCTGCGACGTTGGGCCTGTGTTTTGTTACCCCAAATAAATCAATTGGCAATTTGGACATTTATGGCAGTGCCGTCAAGGTTTTGGGAATCTGTACCAGGAACTTCCAAGGGATATTCTCCTTTGCTTGTGCCCATAGCATCCTGTGTGGGAGTCCTCTCATGATCATGGCTGCAGATATATGAGATCTCTGTCTCTCTCTTTCTCTGTGTATATACACACACATATTTGTGTTTGCGTACCTGTAACAGTTGGTAAACAATTATCACTTTTGGGTTCCCGCCACGTGGAAGCAAGCTGCCAACAAGGCGAAACTGATTGGTTGCCTACTCCCCCCCCCACCAATCCCCACAGCACCAACGGTCGGTGTCTCGGTGGTCCATGTCGAGTCCCACTTCGCGCCTCGGGCTGATCAACTCCGAGCCCCAGGTGTGGGGAAAGGCCGAGCCGCAGACTTGCGATACATTGAAAGCCGCGTGGCCGATGACCGGTGTCGCAGGAAGTGGTGGGGGGAAGATCCGTCACGGCGGTGTCGCTTGGTTTAGTTTAGGGTTTATGCCATCACCTTTCAAGAAGTACCATTGTAGGCGTTATGTTGTTGACAATACCGTCTAGAGAATATATAGTAATTATAGAAGATACCAAGGCGAGAAACTACGGACCCTCACGACAGGCGACATTCTCATTTGCTTATCATTGCTCCAGTATTCAGCGAGCTATCCATTTAAACTTGCAGTACATCCGGGCCTGTACTATTTGTACTATCAACTATCAACTATGTTGCAGAAGTATTTGAAACATATTATGGCTCCAAGAATAAACGATTAGACTTCGGGACAGAGGAGTGTCTTTTCTTCCATTTGCCAAATGAGTTTGGGCTGTACAAATGTACACACACGCGGTGTATCCCCACTGCCCACTACTAGCGGACAACGATCGTTGCCCTCCTGTGGGAGCCTCGTCCTTGATATTGTTTGTTATCCTTTGTTGCTAGAAGCTGAGAACTGTTGAGCATTCTCTGGCGACTAAGCGGCCAAAGCACTGAAGAGACACTGATAATTCCAGACCCCAAGGATCCATTGCAAAATGCCATACTTTCTGTCACAATATCTCTGGTGTCTTTGAGTATCCCATGCTACATCACAGCTATCCCGGGATTTAAGGCTTTCGGAACCCGAGTTCCTTGAGGTGTGGGGCGTACGATTGCTCAGTACGCGAACCGGAGCAAGATCGCTTGGGCGCCCAGATTCGCTGGGCTCTTTGACTCAAGGGACATCAAAGGACCAGTGATTCCGGTGAATGCAGCAGCGATCAGCAAAGAGCGCTTTTGCTTAAAGAAAGGGGGAGTAGGCCCTAGTATGCCAGCCACTAGTAGCTTGTGAAGCAAAATTCTAGGCTGGCGGCAGAAGCTCAAGCTCAAGCTTCTTCACATCGGGTGGAACAAGGTATTTGGCATGTCAAATGTCTTTGACAGGCTTAATCGCCCGACTGGACTCTTTTTTGCGATTGGGTCTTTCTTGAGCAAGTGAACAAGGATCGAGGCCAATTGGTTCTTGAAATTTCTCTTTGCGCAACTCAAGTAAGCACAGAACTCGGAAGTGTGGGGAATCATGAACTTATTGAATGTGGCTGGGGAAAAGTCATGTCTGACAGAGTCAACAATATTGTATATTATTGTGTGTTGTATTGTTTTGAGAATCGATGAATCGCCGGCCACTTATTTTTTAATTTGCTCTGATCTGTTCAGCCTTGATTGTTACACCGCCGTAGTGATAGTGGACACATGAACAACAGATATTCTACAGAGTGTGGGCAGTGCACTAAACAAACTGGGTTTCCCCTTGCGCCAATCGAAGAGGATATATCTCTTGCAAGGGTGGGAGACGAAAAGCAACCGACAATCACCAACACACGTCACCTCCCGCAGGGTTCTTTGTTATATATGACTTCTTGATCAGTGGGTCACATCAGTGGCCAGACTTCTCAATCCACAGGTCATTGAGAAGTCTACAGTTCCCATCAAAACCGCAGAGGCAGGGGTGATTGGTTCTTCTTCTCGTTTAAATTTGAGAAATGGGTGCGAATGGGCGTGGATTCACAGCCGGACCGCAAGACCAATGGGGGTTCTAGTCTAGTTTTGCTCTTCCAAGGTTGTGTTTTCTCAAAAATCTTAAATAGAGTGGAGCTCCGTGGTGAAGCTAACAAATGAGAAATGCCAGCAAGTTTGGTTTCCGCGTTGATCGATTTGGTTGGCTGCAGGGCGGCTATATGATGTGATGCGGTAGGTCCGGTGAAAAAAACATTCGAAACAACATGATGTTGTCTTTGCCTCCCTGAAGACGGACCAAGATACATCTGAAAGTAGGAAGAATGCTTTCTGTTCTTAGTGAACGACTCTACTAAAAACGATTCTTGGGTGTTGATGAGTGAGTCTTTAGGGGCTGCACATGATGGTTACGGAACCACATCCAGGTCCCGATTCTTGTTGAAAAGGATCATGACATGACTTGGGGCCACTATGTTCACCTCGCGTCCAGTGCATAGTCCCTGGCTGGATCAGCTGAAGCTTGCCTCCTCAGACAAATCTACAAGAGTTATGTCTGCCAGACTCCTTTATTCTAGAAGTTTATCATCTTGAAAAAATAACAAAAAAAGCAATTACAAAATGCAACCAGAAAGACACAAGCAATCACAAAAGCAAAAAAAGAGCAAACAAAAGTCGCACTTTTGGTCGCTTTTTTCGCTTTTCTTTTCGCAAAAAAGCGACCAAAAGTGCGACTTTTTACCCGGCCCCGGAAAAAAAGGGAAAAACAGCGACCAAAAGTGCGACTTCTGACCCGGCGCCGGGAAAAAACAAAAGTGCGACATTTGACCCGGCACCAGAAAAGACCCTTGTCCAGTACTAACCCTACCCAGCCCCTCCAAACTACCCTCCTCTGTGTTTTGCTTGTGCATTTGTTTTGCGTTTTTTTACTTTCTTGGTTGCTCTTTGTTTTGCTTGTGCTTTTTGGGTTGCATTTCTTTTGTTTTTTGCTTTCTTGGTTGCTCTTTGTTTTGCTTGTGCTTTTTGGGTTGCATTTCTTTTGTTTTTTGCTTTCTTGGTTGCTCTTTGTTTTGCTTGTGCTTTTTGGTTGCATTTCTTTTGCTTTTTTGCTTTCTTGGTTGCTCTTTGTTTTGCTGGTGCTTTTTTGGTTTGCTTTTTTTGTTGTTTTTTTCAAGTTTATTGATAAAGCCACCTCTGGTGGACATAATTACAAGAGGCCATCATTGACTCCATACTGGAATTGCTTGACGGGGGGTAAACTGGTGCACCTGACCTTACTGGAAGTGGAATATCCGAATACTATGGAATACCCTTGCTTGTCTTGTTTGTAAAGGAAATTGAAGGAACATAGTCATATAGCCTTCAGGGTATACCTCCACAGCTACCAGGGAAACTCGGCCAGGCGATCGCGCGGGTCTTGTCGGCCAATGAGGCCCTCAGTCTCGGGAACCATCCGGCAACTGACCGCGGGTCACGACTGCAGATGCATTTGATGCTCTCGGCTTGAAATGCCAGGACCACACAAACATATTATTTCCTATGTACTGTACTTTGCTACTGTTGAAGGAAGAACATCCGAAAGTCATCTGAGAAGAGGAATGCCTTGCACATTGGTTTGGGGGTTATATACAAGTGGTTGCAGGAGCTTTTTTCAGGAGCTTGGCATGTCTGCTCCCAGATCGTCCCGTCAGATGGAATGTCAATGTCCATTTCTGACCCAAATCGGATGTACAGTACATTTGCTCAGACTCCGGACCTGCTCTACTTCGACCTGAGTCCTGAAACACATTGGACACGCCTTACTTCGACCATCTAAGATAATGAGTACCTATAGACGTTATGCATCGCTCTGCGGATGCAAAGCTGGGTGTTTCAGAGAAGCTCCTTCTGAATCCTTGCCCGCTTTCTCTTCCTCCCATCCGGATGTCCAGACCGCGAACGGCGGCCACAAAAACTTTTGGATCCTTTCAAATCCAGAGCAGGGACGCCTAGCAGGCCGTACTCCAGCTGCCAGTTCAAGAGGGGAAGCGACTGAGCACAGGAAACGGACATTTACTTTTTCCTAACCTACCTACTTCTGGTATCTTTTGATGAACAACTTGTGGATGTTCGAACATCATAGAAACCTTAACTTAAGGAGAATGCTGAATGCTATACTGTAGAATTTTTGATTTTCTTGGTTTTGAGTTGGTGTAGCGAAACAGGAGAGCTTGCATCGAGTTGTGTCTTTCAACAACTGCGAGAAACACATGCCTGACAGGAACAGGAGGAAATACTCCCACAAAATTATTGTGTTTGAGGTGGCTATGTTAGTTACTTTGCTATCAGGAACATAATCCCTGGCGAATCGCAGGATCCACTGTTATGTGATCGGTATTTGGCTTGAAGAAGCTAAGGGTTCTAATAGGATTCTAGTAGGTTCTGTCAATGCGGGGCAGGTGTGAAGAGTTTTCTCGAAGGATAACGTTTGGGAGCTGACCTGATGACCCTGGTGACCCTGATGCAGACATCCTTCGTCCGGCTTACTGGGGCCATGTCCATAATAACCAAGCACGCACATGGTTATCAAAGCCAGTTCGAGGAACCAATTTCTAGGATCTCCACATCCACACCTGTGATTCAAGAGGTTCTGGCAACTTCTAGGACAACAGATGACCCAGGCACCAGTTTCAACATCCTTGGGATCTTTGGCAGATCTCTGATTTTAAATCTGGGCCCCTGGGCTGAAATGATTTCTAAGGTTCTTGGCCGAAGGCACAGCCATGAAGGATTTGGATGAGCCCGACCGCGTGCTCATCGGGGGCCAAGAGCAGGCGCCTGTTTCGCTGTTTGGTCACCGTTTTGGAGGGATCACTTGGAGTCCGATCCGAGTATATAATTAGGAAGCCGTAAGCCCCACAGAACACCCACCCAGGTCTGCGAAAGTCTACAAAGACTGCAAAGAGTTGAGCCAAATGGGTGGGATCATTCCGCATTGGGCTAAATCTGATTGGAGAGCTTGAGCTGCTTTGGGAGTGCTTGCCAAAGGCTAGGAACACCGTAGATGACAACATCTCCCCCGACATCCCCCGACCATTTTTGGATGGCTGTCCCAGCAACGTTAACACCCCTGCGAGTCTTCCGCCATCTACTGCTCTTGAAAGCAGTGTAGATTTTAGCGGGGTATCTCTCTATCAAGGCGCCAAAAGGGGAGTCACACAAGTCTCATTGGTCACCAGTCAACGGTCTCAACAAGGGTCGTGTTGCCGGTGTTGGCGCTGACTGAGTCAAGGATGCCATCATGGTCCTCGCAGATATTTATGCGAACTGGGCCGCCTCCCTAGACCCGGAGAGCTCAGCGCATGTTTTTGGTGCTTTGAGCGGTGTCGCCCTAGTCAAAGACAACCATCTATCGGGCCTATCGGGGCACAAACCTGGTAAGTAAGTGTTTCCATGTGTCCTCGCTGTGCCTAAACAGATCAGACAAGGCCTGTTTACCATATTTAAAAGTTCGAGAAGTATATAAGTCAATTTGGTTCCATTTCAACAGAAGGAGCAATCTCTCTCTCTATATATATATGTTATATGTACTGTATATGCATCCCGGGGGCCATTTTGTGACGAGGCAGTTTTTGGCACCTACAAAACCCAAGTTTTGACAATTTGTTGTAAAGAAGTTGCTTTTCTGTATGGCTGGTTTTATGCACTTGTAAGCATAAGATAGTAATCTTGAGACATCATCATTTTGTACAAACCCACTCTGGTACATGCCATTTTGTAGATGGCAAAGCAGCTTGGGCCAGAGCTTTTCGGAAACACGCGTTTTCAACAACATACGAGGCAAGCTGTTGTTGGGCCAAGTTTGGACCTTTACAGCCGCTCAAACTTGCCACTAGACTGCTAGCCGCTTCTAGGCGAAATGATGCCCTTGTCCAGTTCCTTGTTTCCTTGGTGAGTCACTTTTAGTTGTTTCTAAGGCAAATTGGGGTCGAATAAGGCTTTGTGATTGTTGGCTGAGCACTTCTTTGAGTGTCTAATTCACTGCATCCAGTGCAGCACCATGTAACGTCAACAAATGTTTGCCAAACATGTACATTGGCACGTATAGTATAGTTGGTATCGATAGTATCAATCCACTCACACTTTCGCACTACAGCCGGTCCGACCACCCTGTGGCAGTAGTTCCGACCACTCACCCGATTGGCGCTTCCGTGCTCCGAGGTCCCAAGGGACCGGATCCTGATGACGAATTTGTGGACTGGCTGTCGGGGGGGTTGCGCTGGAGAGCCCCAATGACTTGTCGAAGGTTTTGTGTTGGCGGTGTTGGAGCCATGACTTTTGGTGAATGCTCCGGTGGCCCCCCCACCGGTCACAGCTCTACAGCCCAAATCCCACACCTCAGATCTCATTCATGGTTCCCCTTCAGTCCAAGCCGCCACAGGAGCTCGGAGCTATCCAAGTTGGTGGCCAATGTCGGGGACCACGAGGGAGGTGCCAGCGGGAGAGGAGGAGCCCTCCAAGATCCTCCAAGTACTTTCTTAGGTTCAAGGTTAACTTGGAGGATAACAAGGTAACACGGTAATTAACAAGATCCTCCTTGACCATCGTGGCCTCAAGGTTATATGACAAGTATCAGCACTTGCAAAATCTTATCGATGTACCGGGATGCGGGAATGGACACGAGGACGAATACCGAGGGTTGGTTTTGTACTCGTCAGAGGACCCATGTCCTTTGTGGGAACTTTTAATTGTTGATCATCCCTCCAATGCCTTTGGCCTCAGGATATCCCTCATTTGGTAAGAGTTTCAGTCTTTGATTGCCTGGTCGTTTTTGCAAGTCCCAAACGAAAAGGTAAACGGGTCATCTACCTGGCAGGCAGGTTATAAGACTTTGTTTTGCACCTTCGAGGTTGGTACTGCATTGGTTGTTGCAGGAGTTTGCTTACATTCGCTTGCACGCTGTTGGTTGTTCCTTGCTGTTGGTAGATATTGATCTTTGCACGTTTGGATAGTTGCTAAGAATTGGTTGTGAACTAAGCCTCCTTAGACCAGGGTCACCTTAAGCTTCTTCCAAAAGAACTCAAGGTGGGTCAAGCAAAACCACACATACTGTTTAAAACACAACTCGATGCTGCAAAAGACCCACCATCAATTTGTCTTGGTCTCCAAGGCGATGTTGGCCCAGCGTGTGAGTAGTATAAATTCCATCTCGAGGCACGGGTCGGGGCAGTGCTGTTGGTTGCTGTGGGGCTCAGTGATGCCATCGAGATGTTTTGTTTTTTTGCCCAGTGTTGCCCAAGGTTTTTGTGGGCTTTGCAGTACCCTACTCTTGCTTAGAACAAGTTGTTGCAGGTTTTTGCTTCAGAACCCTGAAAGTGAAGAGGGACCAATTTTTGATTGGAAAGCCCCGGGATGCCCCGGGAGGGAAGCAATGTCGAGTGAAGCTGGTCATCGATCCAGCCATTGCACGCCTCAAAGCCCCAAGACAGGTCAAAGAAACATATGTGGGAAATAGATGGATTACATAATCTAGTTATAACTTAACTACATATAGTAATAGATGTAATTGTGTATTATAGTTATAGTATGATATAAGCACTCACCAGCTACTTGCCATCAATTACATAGGATCTCTCTGAGTTGCAGAGAATTGCAGAGTCCAAAAACAACACATGTGGGTCTCAACATTCCTTCTATTGGCAGAGCTCCCCAGTTCTGCTTGTGGCCAGGCTTTGTGAACGGACTGGAGCCGATGTGAAGGAAGTGCCAGGGACTGAGAGGTTACACCCTTAAATAGGCTCGATGCTGTTCGTGACTATCCCCTATAGTCCTCGTGTTGATGGAAAAGTTCCCGGCAGAATCTATTCCTCAACCAGGAGGTGAGAGTATCCCTTGGGTGATGTGTCTCCTGAGTCTGGATTGCACTCCATTTGGATGAGAATCAGGTAATCAAGGTGTGCAAAGTGCGAGTCCCTCCTACCACAAACCACCATGGATTGGCTTATTTACCCCTGGCCCTTGCCTATATAATTGGCGGCTGCGTTTTTAGAGCTAAAATGCATGGCACGACCCCCCCACAAGGCTTTGATGAGAGTTAAAACCCCTGGCGTAAACCCCCGGCAAAGAATTTTGAAGGCCCGAAAACTATGGCACCTGGCAAAAACATTTTGAAAGCCAACGGCAAAAGCAAATTCGGCAGACTCACAAGAATCTGAATCTGAGTCTCACTCGGAGTGATGGGAATTGGCATTGGTAGGTTAGGGGCTGATTTCTGGATGCTTGACGAGCAACTGGCACCAGCTTTGTTGAATTCGATCTCTCAATTCAGGTTACTGTAGGTGATTGTAGGTGTTTGTTATTCTGCTGTGGCCTTGCCCTGCCGATGCATCACAGATTGGAGAAGTAGTGCGTTCCAACTGCGAGGGGAAAACCAGGTGACTTTGGTGGTTTGCTTCGTTTTTTGATCTGTGAACTTAGCTTGTTCTTTTCATAAGAGATTGCTACTGACCGTCCCCGTCACCATTTTTGTCGATCCACTGCCCCATCGTTCTTCTCATTTAGTAAGTTCCACCGCCTTTCCCCTGCCATAGTTTGCCTGCACTTGATTCAATTGGATGAATCCCCGCCGCTCCTCCGTGTTATAATGTTCTATTTCTACCCAAACCCTGCCACCCCTCCTTGCCACTCTTTTGATGCTTCAGATCAATCGTCGCCGCCTCCTTTGCCACCCGATTGATGCTTCACCCAAGCTTTAGCCACCCCTCCTTGCCACCCTTTTGATGCTTCAGATTAAGCCTCGCCACCCCTCCCTGCCGTCATTTCTATTGTCGACCACAACTTGAAGCCAAATCCTGCCACCCACCTTTGCCACCCCTTCTTGCCGCCCAAATCTTCGATATGTAAACTTTATACCGCTCACATCAATATGTATACAATGTATATATAAAATATTATATATGTATATCTATATTGTGATTTACAGTAAATACATTGGAGACAAGGCGATTCTTCTCGGGCACAAATCGACTTCATCGATGAGGGCGATTGTCAGGTATTATCGCAGCCCAGTGGATGCCTGTGGATGTGTTTTGTTTCTTGATAAGACCTTTGTGACCAACAACATGGGGTTCCAGCGAACCAGCATGTGGTTTGCAGAGGACACTGGTCAATGGGCCTCCATTATCAGGGCCTAACTGGCCTAGAGGCAGCCAGAAGTGGCCCGAACGGGCAATAAGAAACAAAGAGCTGATAGCGCCCCTTTAATTTTTTTCCTTTATGAGCCTTCTTATTGTCCGTTCCTTCTTCTACGTTGTTTTGGCGGCAACAATGAGGTCGAACTGTTCTAGATTCCAAGACCGCATCAAGAACCTCAGCCCTTAGCATCAGGGCCCAAACATGGATAACCACGGTAGCAGACTTAGAAGTTATTCTTCAAAAGCAAACTCTCAATCAACAAATTGGGGGCTCCCTACAATTCAACTGCTACTTTAGACTTTTGGCAACAGGTCTGTATCGGTCCACTTTCACAACATGTTTCTTGTTTCCGTAAAGTGACCTTTCACAGTGCTTGCAGTTCTTGCTAGTAGCAATATGGTGCAAAAGGCTAATGTCTCGGTCTACATGCATGCTACCGACAAAGGAGGGTACATTACATGGGTGCAAAGTGTTGTGTTTGCTACATCCAGGGATTCATTTCTTCCTTTTGAACCAAATTGAATGTCTTTGTTTGCATCAATACTTCGGGTTGTTGGCGATGTGGTTGCACCTTAGCCAGAAGTTGTTGAACATCAAGTATGTTGGATAGCATCAGTCAATCAGTTGTGTATCCACCACGATTTTTTCTTTCTCTCTCTCTCTCTCTCCCTCTCTTTGTATCTCCATATTTGTGTCTATATAGAGATATATAAAGACATTCCTGTACAAGTGTTTCAATCCATGTTGTCGATTCAGTTGTTGTATCTATATATAGTTAGTTTGCACAGTGGCACAGTGATGTTTGAACGTCGATCTATAAATCTGTCGTGTTCCCGTTCATCCTTTGCTTTGTACCCGCAGTACGAGCTGGTGCCGTGACTCAGGGCGCGCGCCATTGGCACAGATTCCCGCATCGGGCCTCCTGGCGTGGATGGGGCGGTGGTCGATTTCTACGACGAATCTCAGTGGTCGCATGGGGTTTGAGACCCCCGAAAGGTTGTACCAAACAAATCTCAAGCAGCCAAAGGTCGCGGCCAGGGACTCCAGGAGTGATTTCAACCTGCTTTGAGTCTATTCTCATCAATGGCCTTGGGTAACACCTGGAGACTACTTTGGGCACTACCCTGATTTCTTATTATTGCTCAACGTTACTGAACATCATCCGAGATACTCAGCAGCAGCTGCTAGTGGATGAAAGTTGGTACGGTTGGAAGCTGTCTCCATGATCATCATGATGCCTTTGTAACTATATCATTGGCACAGCTTTGGTCATGGAAGTCATAACTCTAGCTTTAATTCCCAGAGTGCCTTCTGAACCAAACACTCACTCGTGTGATAGTGTTGGCGCCGATCGCATTTCCCAGCGAACTTGAATGACTTCATCGAACAATTCCATACCATGATTCACTGGATTCGCTACTCTTTGTTGAATCAACAATTCCATTCTATTTTATTCCATTTCTGTGTTTTTCACAGACAAGACGGTCCGCAGGTTTCCTTTGTCTCTGTCTCTTTGGGACCCCGCCTTTTTGAGGCCAAAGTTCCTGAATGCCTCGGTAGGCTTTGGTGGCTCATGTTTTCAGAAGGACCGACCAGTCGGTGGAAGTGGAAGGAAACATACAAGGAGGCATTTTTGGATGATCATAGTCATAGAATGCATGGATCCATGGGAAGTCGTTGGACGCGCTAATGCGTGCTAATGCAACAAAAAGGCTTTTTACATTGAAATACTGGATGATCATTGAAGATCAACAATCTCTGTTTAAGAGACAAGGAGTCAGTTCTTTCATCACATCCCGTGTCCAATTGAGTTATGTATGGGAGTTGATCGAAAACCCGGAGTAAGGAGTTTTATATAAAACAGCCTTTCAGATGTTGTTAGAACCATCCGCGAAAGATTCGCGATGAGGTTCGCGAAAGTATCGTTTTTTTCCGCGAAAGATTTATCGAAGGTCATCGCTTTCATTGTTTTCCTTTCTACCGGACTGACAAAGAATAGAAACGCAAGGCAATCCTCCGGCAGAGCCAGTGGGCGGAAGTGTCCCCATATGTCACAGACTAACGAACTGAAGCCTCAACATTTCCGTGCCGAGCCCTGGCAGTGCGTAAAGGATTCTCCGATTCCTGTCCCCACTGTCACAGACTAGCAACCTGAGTAGGCACAGCCCTGACAGTTAGGCAACGACCTGCAGCTGCTCTGACGGGCTGTGCAGATGTTTGCAAAAGTTACGGCTTCCCGGGGAAGGCACCAGTGAAATTTCGCGAAAGATCCGCGAAAGCTTCGCGAATGTGCCGCTAAAGTCCAGGTTCCCAGCTGGAGGCCCCCCAACATTCTCCCCAAGCTGCATCACCCTGTGTTGGTAGCTGGCACGAGGATTGGGTTGAGTTGTGCCAGATTCTATTTGGCACAATTGTCGCACAGATGCTGCAAGTGACCCTGAGTAGCTGTTGGAACGCTCAACCTTCTACTGGGGTCATGCTGCAAGATGTCTGTCCCTATTTTGTGATACTATGACATGTTGCGGCTCATGTTAGCTAGACATGGTTGTAGGACGATGCTTCGCGATGAGGCCGCGAAAGATCCGCGAAAGATATCTTTTTTGCCGCGAAGAATGGCCGTTCCAGGATGAAAGAATATTGATCAACCACCATATGTTCGACCAAGTTTCATCAAGGATACACGTTTGCAGATGATGATGTTGGGGGAAGAATGGTGAAGTCTTCACTGTTGCAACTGCTATACTTCTTGTTTCTTTCTTGATTTTTCAGCTTCGGCTGATGGGAAGCTGCAGTGCCATCTCTTGAACATGTGTAAGGGACATGAAGGATCATGAAGGCCTTCGTATGTTTGGGAGGACATTCTGAATCTGGTCTATATTTGCCAGCAGTTTGGCTTGGATGAAGTGGCTTCCTATTGGCAGCAGGCAGGGCTCTACTACAGAATGTGGGATTTGAAGACCTTCCTGAACCATCAATCTACACGTGTGTGTGTGTGTGTTCAAAGTCAAGACGGTTCAGATGATTCAATTTCAATTTCAGTATGATTTTTTTTGTCTGGGGTTGTGCACTTGCATACTGGTGCCGTTGCAGACATGCAGACATGCAGAACATGAATAGAAAGTTGTGTAGCCTATTTCCCTTTCACATTGGAGTGTTAAAAGTGATTGGCGGTGGCTTGGCTTATCTTCCTTACAGCGACAACCGCGTGTAACGCATGTACAGGTGTGTATATAGGCTGTATAGAATAGTTTCTGGATCCTCAGCTTCTTGGCAGCAGCTACCTGGATTGAAATTTGGTGCCTTGAAAATAGAGCCTGCTTTGTTGATGGAGGTGGTGGACATGAACGACCACCAAAAATCTGCCTTCACTGGCAAGATCATCCAGGCTGTTGAGTAGATCGTCAGCTTTGGGGCGTGTTGGTAAAGGGACCACTGTTTTCAGAGGTTGTTGTGCTGGCTTTGCTGGCAGTATTTGTGCCCGCCTGGCAAAGATGCGTACGGGAAAACCCGGTTGGTTTGGGCAGAGCTGTTTCTGGTGCTTGAGCAAGTCAAGTACCTGGAAAAATAATTGTTGGTTTTTGTAGCGGCTTGTAGCGAACACGGATTGTTTGGAGCCCGATGGCAAGAACATGGAAAGGCTAATTGCTGAGCATGAAGGAGTCTGGGAGGTGAGAAAGGAAAACGCCACAGGTGACCAGCAGAAACATACCGATATATATATAGATAACTAGAAATAAATATTCACTACACATTATTCTATCAGTTGTAATTACCCGGTGTCTACAAAAGGCGTGTGTCCTTCCAAGTGCCCTATGCGAGGGTGTTAGGATCGGTTCTTTTTCCCAGCCACCTGCGTTGCCATTGGTGCTTGGCGAAACCTCATCCGGCTCTTGCGGCAGTCGTTGTTCAACACCGTGACCAAGAAGAAGATCGCTGTGAGGAAGCCAAGATCCGGCGAGGAATCTGTGAACGCAGGCATGTTAGCGTTTTTAAACATTTTGGTCTACGCTACCATACCCAAAGCAAGCATAGTCAGGTTTTGGAAGATTATGCTTTTCTACCAGGTGGGCTATGTAAGTTTTGGGGGAGGGCAGGTTGTTCAGTACAACCGATTCGGATGGTTGTGGAGTCCTTGGATTGGTCGCGATAGGTGACCATAGCACATTTGGGTCCCTCATTTACTGATTGCCGAAGAGCTCACTTTGGAGTCTTTTCAAGCCAGCGGCCAGAGGGATGAATTGGTTTGAACATTTTTGAAGAATTGTTGTACATGACATGCATTTGGCTCAGGGCAAACAACACCATGAGTTGAGATGCTTTTCCTTTGCAGCTGCTCAGATAAACCGCACCCAACACCTCCAAATTCCCTCTCAACTGTCCTGATTCAACTAGACCACCAAGAGGTCACTCTCCAAGTGCACTTGATTTGCATGCCTCGATCGGCAACGATCGGCGCCAGATTTTGGGTTTCGCCTTCAAGAAGGACACCGGGGATGTGCGAGAGACTCCGGCACTGATGGTGTTGGGCACCCCGGGAAACGTGGCGGAGTTGGCGTTGGGAGATGGCAGAGTGGGCATGAGCGAAACATGCTCCCTGGACAGACTGGACAGAGGGTGGTCGGAGAAAAAAAACAGGGGTAAACTGCACTTCATTCCACTTCCCTGTGAACAGATGAGTTCGAGTGTAGCAAGTTAGCCGCATCCACAGCAAAAAGAGAGCCCATTGACCGTAGCTGCTGGGAGTCTTTGGCGGCTTCCCTGCGAACCTTACAGTTTGAACAAGGTGGAGGGGCAATTGATTGATTGGCTGCTTCAAGCAGCCAAGCAGTGTCAGTAAAAGGATAATGGCCTGTGGATGGACTAAGGAAGTATTCTTTGAACTTCCTAAGCTTGCTTCATGTTAGGTTTTTTAAGAGCCGAGGTGGCTGAGGTGCCTTCCAAGCGAGCGCTGTAGCAACTCCAGGCACAGACAATGTCTTGAAGAAAAGTCTAACGATCATTTAACAGTAGCAATCCCCGATAGATATGTGGAGGCCGTAGCCGGGTTGCTTGGATCTTGTGCAGATCATAATACTTGGTTTTGTAAACCTGATGGAAAGTTGGAACCAACATTCCAACTACTTTCCAGCTTCATTATTCAGTCCGACTGGGGTCGCCTGTTGAATTGAAAGAAGTACTATACAGTAGCTTTTTAAATACTCTCCCAGGTGCGACATGTTGATGAAAGACGGTGGCCTCGTGTATGTCTATGACCCCAAGGTGCACCGGGTCGCCGATGGATGGAGGCACCAAATAGGTTTGGCGTAGAGGGTGCGATGCATCAAATTAAGCAAACAACCGCAGTACAAGCAGTGATCATGAGTCGTTTAAAAAGGGATATCATCTATTTGTGTTTGTTGCGTTTATGTTTTTTTTTGATTTGCTTCTTTTTGTGCTTGTCTTGCCTTTCATTGCTTCCCAGCGATTTCTGCTTCTTTTCTTGCTTCCTTCTTCTTTTGCGCTTGTATTGCTCTTCCTTGCTTTTCTCCTGCCTTTCTTTACTTTCCTGCTTCTTGTCTTCTTGCGTATTGTTTCCCTGTTTCAATTGATTTTGCTTTCTATGGCCTTTGTTGCTGTCACGTTTGAAGTTGCTTTTCAAGCCTTGAGTGTGCCTTGCTTTTCTGGCTTTCTATACTTTCCCTACTCTTCTTGTTAGTTTTCTGCTCTACTGGTTGTTGTGTTTTGTTTCACCTGAGGGACAACCCGAGTGCATCATATCAACAAAACTTGTTCATTCAGTACTCCCTTTTCCATTATGATGCACTTGTCTCATGTTTGTTACATTTGCAATACTCACAGCGTAGTGCCTCCCCAATTCATTTGAGATACGGCGCTGCCCACCGACTTAAAGGGCGTTTGGGCAGGAAAGTCTGCCTCGCGATGGGACCCTTGCTGGGCAGGAAAAGCTTGCGTTTGGGCAGACACGACCTGGGCTTCTGGAGTAGCAGTTTATGCCTTGTGGTCCAGTTTGTTAGTATTTTTTGCACACAGGCCCTAGGGCCCAGATGCCCTGAAATGATATGAAATAATCATGGACGTGGAAAACGGCCTCCTGGACAGTTATTTCTTCTACAAACAGCTAGCTTTCCACTTCCACTGGAAGAACTATAGAGAAACCACGACCACCAAAAAGATCACCCAACGAACAAAGTCTCTTTAGAAAGGGCGCACCCTCAGAAGAACAGTACAAGCTCGTTCACTCGACACAGCTCTGCTGCACAGGTGTTGATTGAGGATGCCTTGACCGAGTTCAAGTATCACGAGATTGAGGCATGGAAGTTCCAGGAAAATTTGCGGGCATGGCGGTGTGTCAAGTTGGCCTTGGTCCGATTGAGAATGCATTGCCAAATTGCTTATATTTATATTATGTCAAAAAGGTATCCCAAGTCAAGAAGCTGCGACCATTCCAAGATGTCAGATTGAGGACCTGCTGGTGCCAGAGGAACACTGTGTGTGTTCAGTTCGATTATGTTCTCAATGTATCGCATTATTCTATGCTTGCACGAGATGCTTTTTCTTTGTCTTTGGTGAGGAACCAAGAGCCAAAAACACTGGGGCTGGGGCAGTGGTCCCTCGCAAAATATGTTTGTATATGCACAGTACACATCATCAGCTGGATGGAATGAATGGTACCATTTTCAGTTTTTGCTATCGGCTATCCACCATGATCCACCTACCCAATCGGCTGCAGGTCAACACCGACCAATTTATTTTCTCCAAGAGCCCAGAAGAGGCGCCGGAGAAGCGTTTGCAGGAGGGTCTGGAGAATGAAGCGCTTGCAGGAGGGTCTTATGACTTGGGGATTCTGTTCTTCACACTCCTTGAATGAGTAAAAGTTGGAATCCCGTACGGTGAAGCCTATTGAGATGTTCTTTACTCAAAGCATCCTAAGATCACTCACAATCAAAGGAGATTGTGGCTTTTGATGACAATATACTTAAGGTCACAAAGTAGCGAACGCCTCCTGTCTACATCAATGAGCCTTCAAGGACCCTGCAAGAAGCGGGGGAGGCACTATTTTTTTGCAATTACACTACACAGAACTCTCTCTCTCTATATATATATATATTGTATGTCCAACAATATGCGAGACACCGGATCGGCCAAATAGTATGTTCCTCCTTGAATCAATTTCCAGGCACCTACACCCCAAAACCAAGGCGACAGACATGTTTTGTATAGTGAGATTGCATTTTGGGGCACATTTCGTGCCCGAAGCAGATCTGGAAAAGGTTTGGGTGTGGGGATCAGCGATAGGCGCTAGGTTCACTCCCGGTTCTGAAAGGGGCTCACGAGGCATCCTCAGCTCAGCCCACAAAGGTATCCAAGGTTTCTGACGGCCCTGACGGTTGGTGATTTGCCCTTGGCAGGAATCACTATGAATCTGAATCACTCTCATTTCATTGTAGCAGAGGAGTCTCAACTGTTACCCGCCAAGCAATCCAACAAGTGAATCAACGGCTGCTTTTTGTTTGGGGTGCTCCTCATGTCTGACGAGGCTTGTGAAGGTGCGCATGCAATTGTCGTGCTCACCGAGTGGGACGAATTCAAGACGTGACCTCCTCTCACTGAGTGTTCGCACGCGGCCCAGTGAAGCAAACGCCACTCCAGAAATGCTTGCCAATGCATCGCAGAAATCCGCAGAGTGGGTGAGTGGTGTGGTGCTTCGAAAAAAGCAACTTATAGGAGGTACATGAGGAGGCTCAATGTCATTCGTGACAGAAGGAGAAGGACGCAACCACTGTTTTCGCCGTTTTGTGCTTTACAAGGGGCAAAGAGATTATATATAAGGGCAAAGACGCCGTGGGGAAGGACTGCCATCATTGTTACAATCATTTTTTTTGATCCATAAGGGCGTCATGGCGTCATAAGGGGGTCAACCAGGGCTACACCATGCTGTTTGTTTGTGCCTTTGTCTTTGTCAAAAACCAAATAATCACCGTATAAATACATAAGCACTATCATTCTATGAGTTTGCCAACATGCCTTCGCAAAGCAGGGATTTACAATTCGGGTCTTTGGTGTGTTGGAAGATGTTTTAGCCTCCAGGAGGAAAACCGCGCGTGTAATTAGTTGTACTCGGCATTTCCTCTATTCTTGTTCTTGGCACAGGAGGAAGACAGGTATTGCTTTTAACCTTCTGAGAGCTTCTGATGGTCCATCATAGGACTTTCGGCTCGTGCTTGTTCACCCATGGCCCACGAGCGAACTTTTTAATCGATAGTAGCTGATGGTCATCCCCCACTTTGATAATGTGTTCTATTCATTTCGAGCCATGTCACTGATCAATATCTATAAGGCCAAGTTGGCAACACATTAAACATTAAACAATGAGGCTTAGTTGCTATTCATTGAAGATAATACATGTATAATTATGCATATAATAATATAATATATATCGTATATACAACATGATCAGATGTAGCACCAGTTACATGTACATGACATAGCTTGTATAGATGTATGTTTCACTGCAGCCGTTTGTTCAATCCGTTTGTTCAAGTTTGAGCTAAAAGTGGGCCTAAGCTTCTACTACAACCTTTGGGACAGTGACTTGGGGTCACAGAGTTTAAGAGCCTAAATTCTCCGTTCATGGTAGCGGAGCCGCGGTTCTAAGACCCGGCTACCGTCTGCGAATCGAAGGTCGCCGAGCCGCATCGGCTCTGGCACCAGAGATCCACAAAACAAGCATCACTTGCAGGAAAGCCGGATTGCTTCAATCCCTGGCTAGCAAGTCAGCATGGCGCAACAGCCAGGAGCACAGGCACCACAAGCCACAGACATGGCACAACAATTTGCACAGATGATGCAAGCCCTAGCACAGGGGCAGAGCCAATTGCAACGAGCAATGGCAGAAGCATATACACAACAAACGGCAATCACAAGGAACATAGCCACTAGCGTAGAAGTAAGAGACAGATCCGAGTTGAAAGGCATTCCAAAGCCTGACAAGTTCAGTGGACACACAGGTACCTGGGATTCATGGTACTTCAAGTTCAAGACTTGGATTGAGACAAGTCACAAGAATGCAGGAAAGTGCATTCAGCTCCTCGAAGAGCATCAAGACACAGAGATCAATGAGACATCTCTGGAAGATGATTATCCTGAAGGAGCCGAGCTTGTTTCAGCTCAGGCCCGACAGGCTCTGATCTCACTATGTGAGGGAGAATCCCTCGAGATTGTCAAGAATACCTCCAGAGGTCAGCACTTTGGCCTAGAGGCATTGAGACGATTGATCACCAAGTATGATCCACAGAACCCACAAGCAAACTCAGCTTTGCTGAAGAAGGTCCTGCACCCACAACAGTGTGCATTGGACAAGCTCAGAGAGAGCATAGAAGCCTGGGAAAACATCAGGCGAAAGTATGAAGAGCGGAAGAAGAAAGCTCTTGATGATGACATCGCAAGAAGTTGTCTTCAGCAGATGTGTCCAGCCAAACTTCAAGATCACCTTGACCTCCAGAGTTCGAGACTCACTGACTATGCCATCATGAAGTCAGAGATTTTGGCCTACCTCGAGAACATCGAGAGCCGAAAAGAAGCAAAGACTGGATCAGCACCAATGGATGTTGATGCATTAGCCGCAGCTGCCAGCCAGATGCAAGCTTCACTTGCAAGTCTGGCTAAAGCCAAAGGAAAAGGCAAAGGTGGCTCAAAAGGCGGCAAAGGAAAAGGAAAGAGTCAAGATGGAGGCAAGGGAAACGACAAAGGTAAACAGAAGGGAAAAGGTTCTTCGTGGTCCAATCCCTCGTCATGGAACAACTCATGGAACAAGAACGATTGGTATAAGAATGATTGGAGCAAGAATAGTTGGTACAACCAAAACTCCAAGGGTAAAGGCAAAGGTGGCAAAGGCAAAGACTCTAAAGGTAAAGGCAAGAGTAAAAGTAAGAAGGTAGCTTCAGTTGAGGAATCTGAAACCTCTATGGCTCAAGAGCATCAACCCGAGCCTGAGTATTCCGCTGACATCGCCACCCTCTTTGCCATCGAGATGGAGAAAGCAGCACCTGCCGCAATTTCTCGTGGAGCAGCCAAGGCAAAAGCTGAGACTGAAGTCAAGGCTATGCCAAAGAAGCCAGGAGCTGGAAAAGGTCGTCCTGGAATTGCAGCTGCTGGGATTGCAGTCATGAACCAAGCAATCCAAGAGACCATGCAGTCCAATCGCGAGCTGTATGAGAAGAAGTCTGAGACAATCCAGAAGGCCATCGAAGAGGCCGAAGCCAAAGGCAAAGCAGCCAATGATGCCATCTTGGAACAACAGGCCGAGATGAAGAGGCTGAAAGAACAGTATGAAGAAAAGGAGAGAGAAGCCAAGATCTTGCTGAAGAGGCCAACTCCTCGCCGAGCCGCTTCGGTTCCGGCGGAGTCGCCAAGGCTCTCAGCTGATTTGGCATCAGGCATGGACCCAAGATTGGCCAAGAAGAAAGAGAAGAGCCGTCAGCGCGCCGAGCAACATCGCGTTGACAAGGCCCAGGATCGCTTTGAATCCTGGCGCGACTATGAGGCCAATTACCCTGAGGAGCTCGACTACTATGAGATCGCTCGTGCCAAGGGTACTGGTCGACTTCAAGCTTGGGATGATGAAGATGATGAAGGAAAATTTGATGAAGCCCCTCAGCCTCGAGGTCGAGAAAAGGCCCAGAGGCTTCGTGGCTACAAGAAGCCAGGAAAGGCAAAGAAGCCTGAAAAGCCAAAAGAGAAGGAGCCCAAGATCGAAGATCTCTCCACTCAAGAGTTGGCAGAGATGAAGCGGGAAAGCCAGACATGGACGGCTACTAGCCATCCAGCCCGCAGTGTCATCGACAAGGCGCTCACTGCAGCTGGGTTCAACCCAGAGGACTATGTTGTGATGAAGCGCGTCGAAAGCCAAGGCGAAGGAGCAACAAGCGCACCATCCTTCGCGGCTCCAGTCATGGAGAACATCAATCCCCTTGATGTGACTGAGATCGAGGGACTCGAAGAAGAAGAAGAGTTTGAAGGTGAAGTTGAAGAGGATGAGAATGGCACTGAGCCAGCTGACGAGGAGTCAGATGGACAAGAAGAAGAAAAGGAGAAAGATACCGTGCCATGGCTCGATCACATGTTCCAAGAGCGCATCCTCAGCTATGATGAATGGGTAGCCAAATGCACCCACAAGAACAGAGATGGCAGCAAGAACATGGTCTGCCGTGCGTGCAACAAGGCCCTGAGGTGTGACAATGACACCGGCCTGTGGAACCACCATATGGCTTTGAATTGTTGCCCGCCAAAAGTCCTCAACCAGTGGGCAAAGGAATGGACGATCAAGCAGAAAGAGATGGGAAAGCGCATCAAGACTGCCAAGGGACAGCAAGGCAGCCCAACTTCAAAAGATGCGCCAAAGCATGTGAAAGATGCCGACATGGATCTGAAGCCCGAAGATGTGGCAAAGCATTTGAAGATGAAAGATCCAAAGCTTGAGACCGTCAAGAACGAACCTCCTTTCTACATGACAGCCCATATGCAGCAGATGATGGAAGAACAGGAGGAGGAAGATGAGGTTGGCCCAAAGACGCCAAAGCAAAGGCGCATTGCCAAGACACCTCCACCTCCTGAGAAGAAGGGCAAGACCAAGGAGGAGCGCATGGCCTGGTTCAAGAGCTCGACTGAAGAGCACCTAGAGCGATTCCGTGGACCAGGATCCAAGCCAGAGGAATCCAGCGAAGCGCCAAGGCAGACGCTTCGGCTGAAGTCCCGGTCACGATCCCCGGGCAAAAGCCGAGCCGCTTCGGCTCCGGCTGCCTCCGAGAAGGGCCAAGGAAAGGGCAAGCAGAAGAAAGTGCAGTTGACTCGAGCTGTCAACGTGGCCACTCAGGATGCTGCCCGTGAGGCCAAGAAGGGAAAGGGGAAACGATATCCCACACCTTCGAGTGAGCCAGATGAGGGCGAGGAGGATCTATTAGCTCTCAGGAGTTTGGAGCTGGCATCCATGGAAACACCAATGGCTCATCAGGTGACCTTGGATTCAGGAGCCGCGACCTCCTGCATCCCTGTTGAACTGGCCACCGCATTGGGCTACAAGCCTATCCAGCCTGAAGGCACCTGCAAAGTCTACAAGACTGCCTCAGGCGAAGTGGTCAAGGACCTTGGCAAGATCGATGCCATGGTGACCATCGGCATCGGCCAAAACTCCCTCAAGGGACGCTGCTGTTTCCGGGTGATGGCGGTTGCAAAACCGCTGCTCTCCGCGGGGGCCCTTATGAGCAAGGGCTGGTGCATTCAGATGCACGGATCTGGTGGGCAGATCTCCCGAGACGGAACTAAGATTCCGATCTCGTTCAGCAACGGCGTCTGTTCTGTGCCGCTTGCATTCCACCCTTTCGTCCGGCACCGCAATGGGTAAGTCCGGTAGTGGACGAGCAGGCCGAAGAGGCCGAGCCAGGCGACGAAGTGCCGCCTGAGCTCAAAATCCATGCTCCCATTCGCCCGACGCGAAAAGAGTTTGAAGAGCATGCTGTTTCACACTTCCCTTTTAGGTCTTGGTGTGAAGCCTGTGTAAGGGGAAAAGCTAAGGCAAACCCTCACAGGAAGATAGACCACACCGATGAGACAACCCCAGTAGTAACTGTAGACTACTGTTTCATGAATTCACGAACTGATGATGTAGTTTTGGACAAGAAGACCCATGCACCAATTCTTGTTGTCAGAGATCGATGGACGAAGCATCTTTTTGCTCATGTGTTGCCCTACAAAGGTGTGACAAAAGGTCCATATGGATCCAAAGTACTTTTGAACGACATCAAGAAACTAGGATACTCCAAACTGATCATTCGACATGATCCTGAACCTGCTCTCACACATCCGTTGTTGAGGCAGTAAAGAATGGGTTTGAAGGAACCCTGATCATCGAGAAGAGCCCGAAAGGAGTCAAAGAATCCAAGGGAGAGATTGAACGAGCAGTTCAAACCTTGGAAGGACAAGCCAGGACTCTTCGAGCCGCGATCGAGTCGAACTATGGTGAGAAACTTCCTGACGATTCACCTGTTTTGATTTGGTTAGTTGAACACGCATCCACAGTCTACAATCTGTTTTTCCGATCTACCGAACTTCAAGACGGAAAGACTCCGTATTCACGACTTCGTGGACGTGAATGGAAAGTAGCAATTCCACCATTTGGTGAGGCCATCGAATACCTCAAGAGAGGTCACAAGTTCGAGGCCCAATGGACAAAAGGAATTTTTCTAGGAGTGAAAGACACCACCACAGAGAAGATAGTAGGAAACGCCTGTGGAGTTTTCACAGTGCAATCCATTCGGAGAAAGCCAGAAGAAGATCGATATGATTCAGAGCTGCTGAAATCGATCACTGGGATTCCCTGGGATCCTCAAGCAATTTGCGAAGAACCAGCGATTGCAGCCCCAAGGGAACCAGTCATTGCCAGTCCAAGTGGTGAAGCTTTAGTTCAACCACCGGCAATAGATGACAAGAAAAGAAAGCTGAGAAGACTTTACATCACCAAGAAAGACCTGGAAAAGTTTGGGTACACTGCAGGTTGCCCAGCCTGTGATGCCACACAGATTGGCAAAAGATCTACAGGCATTCATCACACCAACAGGTGTCGAGACAGACTTGAAGAGAGCATCAGAGGAGAAGAAGAAGAGAACCCAAGAGTAGCAAGACATGAAAGCCGAGTTGGAGAGGCAATCACTGGCATGCCACAACCCGTCAGTGGCAAGAGACCTCAAATCCTTCATGGATACGAAAGCAAAAGACCATCGGGAGTTCCCGATTCGTGTCGAGTGTTCGCACGACTTGACGTTGAAGCTTATTGTTTTCAAACCACCATGCCAGGAGGACCTGATTGGTCTACCGTCTGGCACCGAGTCACAAGAAACCATGCAAACAACGCAATCATTGAGAGTGGAGTCATGACAACAGACCTTCCACCAGAGATACTCAATGGAGCATTACCGCACAAGATGGACATTGTGACAGAACTTTGGTACGAACCAGAAGCAGCACCACCAACACCAGGCACAGCATCAGCTTCAGCATCAGGTATTCGCAGACCACGCGAACCTGAACCACATGGAGAAAAGAGAGAACACGAGGAACAACATGAACCAGCAGGATCACCTACAGCAAAAGCCAGAGTAGATAGAGACAAGAAGAGAAAGGCAGAAAGCGAACATGAAGATGAAGCCGAGAGAACAAGAGACATCCAGAGCATCGAGATGGCTCTAGAAAGCCTAATCCTAGAAGACAGAGAGAGAGTGCTATCTAGCATCGACCCAGAGAAACCAGTGTGTGAAGAGAAGATCCCACTGCCAGAAGAAATGGCAGAAGAGGCAAAAGACTGGTGGTACTATGATGACATCAGTGGAAAAGAGCTTCTACCTGAGAAGGTAGAGAAAGCCAGAAAAGATGAGATCGACATTGTCGAATCAATGGGAGTTTGGGAAAAGATCCCAAGAAGCAAAGTTCCAAAAGGAACCAAAATCATTGGAACTCGATGGGTAGATGTGAACAAGCAAGATGAAACCAATCCTCTCTACAGAAGTCGATTGGTAGCGCAAGAGATCAAAAGAGGCTCAGGTTTTGACGAATTTTTCGCAGCCATGCCGAGCCTTGCAGCTTTGAAGCTACTGCTAACCATCGCAGTCAGCGACAGCCTTCCATTGGAGAAAGGCGAAAGAAGAAAAGCAAAGCAATCTTTCCTAGGATTTTTGGATGTGAAGAGAGCTCATTTCTACTCCAAAGCAACAAGAGAACTCTATGTTGAAATTCCATCAGAAGGCAAGAAACCAGAAGATGGAGATGTGGTAGGAAGATTGGTCAGAAGCCTTTACGGCACCAGAGACGCACCCATGAATTGGGAGCTGACCATTGCAGAGTTTTTGAAGAAGCTAGGATTTGTTCAAGGTAAGTCCAATCCATGCATTTACTACCATGCATCCAGAGAGCTTCGAACAGAAGTGCATGGAGACGATTTCACGACAGTTGGAAGTTTTGATGACATCAAATGGTTTCACACTTCAGCAGCCAAAGAATGGCAAGTTGTGGAACGAGGCATTCTCGGTCCACCAGGTTCACCAAAGGCAAGCCAACAGATGAGAGTGCTGAATCGCATCATCACCTGGTCAAATGAAGGCATTTGGTGGGAACCAGATCCAAGACATGCAGAGTTGATCATCAAGTGGTTAGGCACTGGTCAACCAGGCAAGGTCAAAACACCTTTGGCCAAGCCAAGTCAAGAGGAACTCCAACACGAAGAAGTTCCGCTGAGTGCCGAAGATGCAACGATGTATAGATCTATTGCTATGAGAGCCGCGTATTTGGCACAGGATCGACCTGATCTGCAAACTGCAACGCGCTCATTGGCACAAGGTCTACAGAACCCAACATCGAGGCACTGGAATATGCTGAAACGATTGGCTCGATATGTCAGGTATCGACCAAGAGTTGCACAGTTGTTTCCAAACCAAAGCACCTGCAACCCCTTCAACATGTGGTCAGACGCCGACCATGCAGGTTGCATAAGGACACGAAAGAGTGTGTCAGGAGGCGTGCTCATGGCCAACAAATGCTGTCTCACAACATACAGCAAAGGCCAAGGAGTTGTCTCCCTGAGCAGTGGCGAATCCGAGTACTACGGACTTGTTTCTGGAGCATGTCAAATGCTTGGAATCGTATCAACAGCAAGAGACTGGGGATTGTTTCCCAGTAAAGAGGTGACAATGGACGCTTCCGCTGGCATCGCCATGGGAAACCGTCGAGGCTTGGGACGAGCTAAACATGTTGACACTCAGTACCACTGGGTACAAGAGCGTACAGCAAAGAAAGAGTTTCGTCTCAAGAAAGAAGGCACCGACCGAATGTTGGCCGACGTGCTAACGAAAGCTGTCACCGAAGAGAAAATGACTACAGCTATGAAAGGCATGAACTTCCACTACCTGGAAGGTGAGCATGAACTGACTTTGAAAGCGTGAACGGCTTGAGCTAGAGTAGGTACTTCTACAAGACCAAGATGTACTGAAGGGCTACGAGCTAATTCAGCACTTAGTTAGCACTTTTAGTGAACAGTGCTAATCCTGACTCGGTTAACATCTCCCAGAAGTTAAACTCGGGAGGCGTGATCAGATGTAGCACCAGTTACATGTACATGACATAGCTTGTATAGATGTATGTTTCACTGCAGCCGTTTGTTCAATCCGTTTGTTCAAGTTTGAGCTAAAAGTGGGCCTAAGCTTCTACTACAACCTTTGGGACAGTGACTTGGGGTCACAGAGTTTAAGAGCCTAAATTCTCCGTTCACAACAGGCATATTGCATCTAACTATAGCAATATTTGCGAACTTTGTTTACTATTCTCTACATTTCCTTATTCACAAAGGCTTCGGGCTTACCGTTTTTGGCTTAATGCTAGTATGAATACCTTAAACCGTCGACCATGATTCAATAGACTCACAGTATTGCATAATATCATTGGTTCAATTCATGGTTTAGTTGCTCCGGACATGACAGAGATGTGACAAGCAGGAACAAACTTTGCCTAGTGCAGTTTGTACATCAAAAAGAACTCATTAGGTTTCTTACTCGAAGTGGTCTTTTGAGGAACAAACACTTGCAGCGTTGTTGAGCTTGATGGACTTAATCTGTAGGGGGCGAAATGTTTGTAGCCAGGCGAGTATGGTTGACTCGGTTGACGAGCAGGTTCTGCTATGGGTACATGCGATCATGCATGTAGCTTTATGAATGACAAAAGAAAGGGGATTCCTATGTGCAGCAGAACTTGTTTAACAATTGCCTTTGTTTTTGGCTTTTGATGAGGTACTCGTATGACTCTATGACGTATGACTTTGGCAATCCACTCTTTCCAGTATGAGACCAAACAAGAGCCCTTTGTCGACCCTGTTGCGACTGTGCCTTGCAACACTGCAAATCCCACACCAGGGACTTTGCAGAGCAGGGGAATCCTGCCATACAGGAAACCCGGGAATCTAAAATGCCCACAGGTATGACTACAAGAAGTTCTACGACAAGATGATGAAGCCTGGAGCCCTGGGCAATTCTGGACCATCCTGGGCCTATTCGCCCCTCATGAGCTGGAAGTCGTTTGGATGGGCGGATGGGTGTTGGAGAGAGAATCTGAGAAGACAGATGCAGATTTGAGATCTATAGATCTCCCACTTAGCATGACTTCACTGAGAGCTTAAAATGGAAGTGGCACGTAGATCCTCAAATTCCAATACAGATTTGGAGCCCCAGAGCCAGTTGTCCAACAGTTTTGTTGTCAAATGAATCTTCCGTTGCCTTGAACCTGTCCACGACATCCACATACATCCACCACGACGAGGTGTTCGCTAAGCAGGACGCAGAATCACCACGCCAAGGGCTGCGGATGTCGGTATTTCTCGTTTCGTGGAACACGGTTGTGTTGACTTCCGCAACTCCCCTGAATGACCGAGAGAACCTGCAAATGCATTGATTCCTTCAATTCCTTAACGAACTGAAACCGTCGGTGGTCGGATGATGTCGGATCATCCCGCTCAAATCCGACTGCCCGAAACCGTTCCCTGTCAGACCCGTCGAACCGAGTGAAGGAGGGATGTTTGATCCCAAAGATCTCCGATGCAATGGATGCAAAAAATGGATGTTTTCAACGTGTTCTTTCACATAGGATTAAGCGGTTTATACAGTGGTCTGATTTGTTTGTTTATCAAGATCCTTGACTGTGGAACTTCGTGAGATTCAGCATGTTTGACATGTTTGAACCTTTCCAGCCAGTGGACTAACTTTATGCGTTGCTTATGCCCGATTCTTATCGTTTCTTGTCCGCTCCTGGCCACGGGGTTTCGCGATCATCCGAGGCCAGCCTTCCTTTTCGATGGCCGGAACATGTTGGATCACGCAGGCAGCAGATCGGTTGTTCAGCATGGCATTGAACAAGTCACACTTCATTTGGCTTGGCTATGTCAGGTATGTACATTTGGGACCTCTCAGGGCTTGCATATATAAGCTGGTTGGGCAACTGGCTGCTGGTAGCATGTCAGCCGGCAGAAAAGTTTGCGGCAGGAATAACTCACGGTGATGTCACAAAGCATGTTGGTTATTCCTGCTGGATGTGACAAGAAACCTGATTGTGGTTATATCTAGATACTGTATATATAGGTACAATGATGCCGGGATCTTCAAAAAACAGCCACCAGCACAACGCATAGTTTCCACCCATGGCGCACCCAACCCCCAGTTTCAATGTTGTTCCTGCATCTCACTTCAGGGCAGACTGCAGAAAAAAAGCCATCCTTGTTGCAACTTTGAAGCGGGGTGTGTAGGGGTGTGTGTGTAGTACTGAAGTGATCCGGGATGATGGCTGTGTTTTTTATTTTTCTGAAGAACCCGGGAAGAAACAAATAGAAACGTAACTATATGATCACAACCTATTTTTGCATAACTTTTGTTTCACTTTGCACAACCCCCAAAGGTGGATGCTACCTTCCACCATGCATTTGCAGACTGGCAAAGCATTTGCACCATTCCTCCAAAAAGAGCGTTCTATACATACAGACGACAATGCGGCACAACTCGACAGCAGTGGATGCTACTATAGGCCACAATGGCTCTTCAACTTTGTAAAAATCTGCCAACTGACGGCAACGTGTTTTAACAAAGATAAATGTTATTTCCATTTTCGGACAACACCAAAACGGTTTACATTCCTTAGCAAAGAAATGCAAAGAAGCTTCTTCGGGCAACCCCAACAAAGAACACGATCCTCACACCTTTAGACAACCCTACAACTGTGGATGCTACGGGCCACCTTGCAACCTGGTACCGGCAAGAGTTAGTCAACGGCCTACAGACATTGGGACGTCATGTTCATGACAGAACAGAGCTGACGACGCTGTATGTAGCTCAAGCTTTTCCATAGACATGGCCCCTCACGTCACAGCCAAGCAGGCAAGACTTGGACACAAGTCGCAGCAGCAAGGGCCAGTTGGCATCCAATTAGACAGCCGCTCGGCGAGCCTTCCACGAAAAGCCGCATAGACAGGGAGTGCCGGAAACTAGCGTTCCAAGAGGAAGCTCAGCAATAAGCAGGTGCGTAAGCTGAGCCAAGTCCGAAAAAACAAGTCACATGCTTCGCTCCACCACACCTTGCACATAACTCGCATGGCTAGAAAGATTTTTGCGACAACTTTTGCTAGAAGAACTTCAAAGCAGATGGTTTTGATGAGTTGGTGACCTTCTCAAGAAGGACAGAATTCGGCAAGAAAGCTCGACTTGAGCGACCCTGAAGCTGCTGAATCTGCACCCGTTGGAAGCATTTGCAACCCAACTATTTCATCCACTCGGTTGACGCAATCCTGGACAACAAGAAGTTTATTTTCCGACCCATATTGCAGCCCTGTGGTGACTAAAGCGGGGGCTGGTGAAAGGGCATGCTGCCAACATGTACCGTGGTCTGTGCTGAACGCTTTTTGAAAGCGCTTGACATTCTGGGCTGGCAGGTTGTGGCCCTTGCTCTGCAAAGTTCATCCTGGAACCTGGTGTCTCTTTTGCAAGTGGTCCTATGTCCTATGTGCTCTGCATGGAAGGGATTCCAAAACCTTGTCTAAAGCTGCTGTGTCTTGGTCAGTTGCTGAGTTTTTTGCCTTTTACATCACCTCCCTTGACGATTTGGCACCCAAGTTCGAGGACAATGCCGTTGGGCAGATGCTGTGCGAACTGAGCTCTGACAATCTTGTTGAGAACTTGGGCCTCAAGCCTTTACAACCCCAAAGGATCCAAAAGGTAATGAAGCACTTGTGGGCACGATTCATGAGTCACTTAAGTACTTCTTACTGCTCGGTCCCTGTCGCTTCTTTGTATACTGCTGCAGATAAAGAAACCAACAACTGCGCCATCACTCACTTGCACCAAGTCCAGGGTTCGGTCCGGTCCGGGTTCTTCAGAAAGAGCAGCCACCAGCGTGATGTATAGGTCCAGTCATGGCGCACCGTTTGGCCCCCAGTTGAAATGCAGTAGGTATTTCTTGTGTGGGCCAACACTTATACTTCATTCATCCACTGCGTGGTACATGTCCCTACTTGGAAGTGCATTTCCAGTTATATAGCAACCGGTTACATTGGTTACTTGGCTCCTAAACCTACCTTAGAAGATAATTAATTGTGGATATACCTGAGTCAACCAAGTGTGGCTAACTTGTCAACCCCAACTGCACATCCAAGAGTGCATAGCGCACGCCATGTGATTCTTTTGTCTGAGATCGTTTGATGGCCGCGTGGCTTCGGGCGGAGAAGCTGCGGGCTGATGCTGCGAAGGAGGGCCAAACCAGAGCTGCCGCCGCAGCGCGACTACGACGCCCTTATCCAGGCGTCAAACAAGAAGTCATCATATAGATGGTGTTTGCTGTGCATCGCTCCCGGAAGAAAAGAAAAGGAGAAACGTGGAAAAGTCCAGCCATGCTTTGACCTGTTTAGTTGTTATTAATTAGAAATGATTTTTAATTCGATTATAGATTTAAACATAAACTGGATAGAAATTATGTTGACAATAAGAAAACACTGAATTAGAATTAGGTTTGCACCAAAAAACAGATTTTATCTGGAATCGACTCAACATCAAAGTTCAATTGATAATTGAAATAGAGTTAACATTTTGCTACAGTAGAATTATTTAGGTTTGAATTTGACATCAAAGTTCAATTAAAAGACAATAGAATGGGCATTTAAGTAACGTAGAACTTAAATATGTCTAAGTTTGAGTTCAGTTAGAATTGAATTAGGTCATTCAGGATTTGCAACTCTTCTGACGCTGATGTACTCATTGAACTGCATTCAATAAGACCAACGCAATTCACAAGATGACTCTAACAGCAGTTTTGCACGGCAAAGATTTTTCAAAGTAAGCGCCTGGCTCATTTTTTTAGTACATAGTTACATGAAAACTTTCCTTACCAGCTGCAAGTAGAGCAAAACCTTGCAAAATCACAACTTTCACAATCCAAAGAGAGGACTTCCTAAGCATGGACTGCTTGAGCCTGTTCCACCGGCCCTCGCTGCTGAACTCCATCTTCAGCGCCCATAGGGTCCAAAGGAAAAGAGTAAGAAACACCATATGGGAGAAGGCTATGATGCACTTGGCGGTGGCCAATTCGATTTGGATGGATGCTCCTCCTCAAAAGATGTCTGTGTGTCATCTGTCTTTAGCTGCTGACAAAGTGTTTAAATTAGCTATTCTTGAATGATTTTTCTGTGCGTTTCTTTCCTTGTCTGCTTCATACTTTCAGGAGGACCGGCAAATTAGTTGCGCGGATGACTTGATAGATGTTGGAGGCCAGCGAAGCGGTCTGCGTACTGCGGCTAAATCAAGACCAGGTCCAAGCCAGAGAGTGGAAGAAAGCAGCGTGGCAGCCAAGGAAGAAGACCAAGACGCTGAACATATTCGTTTTGAAGATGCAACCTATGAGAAGCAAAGACGGCGCATGAGGCTTGAGGGGAGACAGCGCTTCAGATACAGATTTCGCGAAGCTTTTCAAATCCTTGTCAAACATGAACGGCTGCTTCCACCAAGCAGCTGCAGAGGACATTGATACTTCAGAGACCATCTTGCACAAGGTTCGGTTCTGGCGCGATTGTGTGCGCAAGGGTGACGGCTCTGACTACAGTAAGCTGCCGGAAGTTGGAACACGTTCTTTAATTAAAAGCGTTTCGAAAATGGAAAGCATTTAATTGTTTTGGCTTTGCAGATAGAAGATGAAGAACCCCAAGTGTCATACCACTCCAACCTACTAGCGGTGGCCTCCAACCTGCTAGCGATGGCCTCCAACCTACTAGCGATGGCGATGGCCTCCAACCATCTGAAGCATTCACACCTGGCCACTCTGCTTGGCGGTCATACCTGGCTCCATTTTGGCCGGAATCTGGGGATAGATTTAAATACCGGAAACTATTTTTAAATCATAATCTAACTGGGTCTTGGCATTTGACAGGGCCAGGCAGGCAGACAGTTTTTCCGAGAGCACGCGTTGCTGTATTGAAATTGGATTGCCGAAGGTCACTCAACACTTCGTTTCCAAACAGGTGATTGCTATATGAAAACTCCAAGTGGCGCATTCCAACAGCCCCGGGGGATACCACTTGACTCTGGCCGCGTACAAACTTTTCTTCCCCATGTGGGATGCATTTTCTGCAAAATGCCTGTGCGAACGCAGAGGACTACTCCGGGGCTGCTGGGAGCGATGAAAGACATTCTCCAGAAGTTTGACAACCAGGAGAAAGACTTCCTGGTTGCTTGTGTGAACGCTTGCTCGAATTTTCAAGGGCGACAGCGCGAGGAAAAGAATGGCCACGCGCATCCACGCGCAGAAGATGAACTCGCAGACGAAGAGCAGGAGGGACAAGGGGAACAAGGGCCACAGGGACCATGGAGCGCAGCCACCACTGAAGCAATCGTGGCAGTGAAAAACAGCTGTCATATGAGCTATGCTAAGACAAGCTCATGTCTGAATGGTGTGGCGCACCAAAAGAAGTGGAAGCTTCGTGTTGCTACGAAGACTGCGCGGTAAAATATGATGATGAGCTCCTACCGGCTCGACAAATTCAGCGTGGTCAGCTTGTGAACTGTTGCTTGGGAACCCCTCACTCCATCAAACAAACAGTGCCTGCAAGTTCTACTTTCTTTGCAAGTTCTATTCACACCCCTCTTCAAAATTCTACAACTTCAAGTGAGTGATTAGAATTCACCTCAATCTTGATGACCTAGGGTCCTAGAGATGACAAGGACCACGCAGTGGATGAATGAACAAAAGTTTACGGGAAAAGGTTGCAGGCATTGTTGGATCTTGGTTTGTGCAATTTCAAGGGTCACAAAATAGAGGGCTTACAATTCTATATGCACGATGACATAAATATTTCCAATTTGAAATCGCGTGGCGCCGCCGGGTTGGATTAGACCGTAGGTTGATCTCGTCATTAATGCTTGATTATTGCATTGCACTTGCATCGCCACGTCCATGAAAGGCGAGCTAACAACTCTTGTCAACAAGTTTATTTCTATTCTCACTGCAAGCATGCCACTTCATGTCCTGTCCCAGATCATATGGCGCACCACCTCCACATTAAATGTTGCAAAGCCTCCACATTTAAGTGTTGCAAAACCCCTACCACCACATCCCCTCCAGACCCACCCCATGATGCAGGATACCCATTTTCCGTTCCCAGACGAACACGCACTCCCCTGCAAAGCTAATGCTCCAGGAACTCAGTGTTCGCACCTCAACACAAGGACGCCCCTCAGCACCTTCGGTCCAGGTGGACTCGCTCAGCCTCGGGTCATTAGGTTCTGGTCTACCAACCGCCTGTCACATGTTGACATCAATGGCAAATATTCTTGCAGATCCCAGATCCTAAACGCTCTATAACAAAGTGCCGAACCCGTAAAATTATTTGGGTTGGTTTGTTATCATTGTGCTTGCTCATGTTGTTGTTGCCCCCTGTGCTTTCGTTTTTTGGCCCACGTTGCTGTGAATTTGTCGCCAGTCGGCCCCGAACCTATCCGTGTTCGGATGCCAGAACTGGAAAAGATTGGTTTCGAAGTGCACGCCCTTGGAAAGGCCGTGGGGGAAGAGCGATTTAAGCAGGTCATGTCGCTGGCGACTTTGACGCCGATTTCGGTAGGATTTGTTTTTCGAGACGGCCACACAGAATAGTTCCTTCTACCCCCCATATTGGATTGAATGAATATTTCCAGTTTTTGCAGCTCTGAATCCCACCCAGGCTTTGCTGCGAAACGATGCTGAATTTTTATGGACCGGTGTAGGGCCACAATTTGACAAAACATGTGAATCAAATTTGCCTGAACCTCTGTCTCAACATTCCCAAGATGGACAGGGCTGTTATTTATTGTCCACCCAAAATGTTCACCTAAAATGTTTGAGGGTCTTTAGTTTAGACTTTTGACCAACATTGTGTGATTTCAACTGACAAAACGTAACACACACCAAAGGGCAATGAACCTGTAGAAGGTTCCTATCCCCGTGGTCCAGACGTGTCAAGACAAGTTCCTCATTCTATCTACATGAACATGATTGGACTGGTTGTTGAAGGGCTCAGTGGACCTTGGAAATTTGTTGGAGGTGAAGGTGCAGTGCTGAAAAATTCCGTCGTGTTCTTCAAACGTTTGACAGTTGTTTGAGACTTCTTATAGGATCCAGCTGCAGCTACATGTGGAGAAGGTAGGGACTACAGCACATTCCCAGTCTCAGCGGTCACAAGTTGGGTGATCAGTTGAACTGCTGCACGAAAGGTTGAGAAGAACGAGACCTTAACCAGGGGCTGAGATTTGTGTTTTGTTGTGTGTTGAACGGTCGAGTCCACACCCTAATTCATCCCCTCAACTGCAGGGGTGGGGTAGTGCCCCGCCAGTCCGCAAAGTGTTGCACCCGGGGATTGAACCCGGGTCCGACGCATAGCGGCCCTCGGTCGAATAGGTTTTTTCTTGTTTTTTTTCAAGTGTTTGAAAGCCAAAGTTTGAGGGGAAATGGATGACAAACTATGACAAACTCATGTTTCATAGGGTTTGTCAATAACAAACAGTCGGACAGGCAGCAACCTGCATGTCCAGAGCCATATGTCTCGAAATGAGGGACCCCTTTTTCTAAATGTGGGCTTCACCTGCTGCGAACAGCGACAACAAAGACAATTAAAAAAAAACCTCCGAAATTCTTTATTATATATCTTTGTTTTGTTTACTTTCAGTCGACTCAGGGCACAGGGTCAAGCCAGAGATCGAAGAGTCCCGACTTCGTGATGAGGGCCAGTAGCGCGGTGACTCAGAGCCGACAATGGAGCTACTCGAAATCTGTGACAACGGAGCTGAAAAGACCGGGATGAAAGGACCTGGAGAACCCAAGATCCGTGAGGCACCTCCTGATCCCCCTCCCCCCCGCAAGACGCTGGTCTCGGGAATTGACTGCGCCGTCTCCAAAGCCTAAAGCGCTTCCTCATTTTTCTCAAGCTTTTGATCAGTAGAACCTTTGGGTCAACGACCAGTAATAGCGAGACCATCAGCCAATGGCATTTTGTTTTTGTTTGGTTTCCCTTTTCTAAGTACAGATCCTTTTGGTCAATCTTCATGAACCGAAATCGGTGGTGGCCACAATTTACCAACCAGCTGAGTTCTTTGTAGAGCTGAAGTCTGAGTGAACCCTCACCTTTTTGTGGAAACCTTAGGTCAGTTAAGCACAGCGAAGGAGGGTCAAGCAAACTTCTGGTCATCTCTCGCAAAACCCTAGCCTTCCAAGCACTATTTTGGCCAACGGGACAAGACCAGCACTGCAGGCTTCTCAAGAAGTCTGACTTGGGTGGAACCCAAGAGCCCTAGCGCATGCCACCTGTTTGGAAACTAGGGTTTCAGCTGGTTCATGATTTCACCATATTTGACCATCAAGAAAAGGACTGTCGAATGCCTGAGGTGGACTCCTACCTAGCGGCGGATACTGACCTTGACCCAATGCTGTGGCATGAAGACTGACAGCAAGCTTCATTGTCACCTAACCTGTGTGTGTGTGTTCACATAGCAAACTGACCTCAGACCTCACAAGTTTTCTTAGAAGAGGTTCCAGAGCCCAGAGCCAAGTCCTTGCGTCAAATTGCAGACATAGCAGACATCTTCGCGAATGGGATTGGCATTCTTCGCCGTCCGGGTTCGCGATTTTCCGCCCTCAGCTTGGAACGTGCTGGTTGGGCAATGGTTCCCATCACACATGGCCCAGTTTGATGGCGCGACTCACAGCCCTTCTTGCAAAGGAAAAGTTGTGTGCTACCTGTTTGCCGCCTTGGATTCTTTTGTAGCAGATTGCAAGTAAGCCTCATAGTTGAGGCCAAATCTTGCCGGCATGGTGTTTTCCCCAATACCTTCCTTAAATGGCAAGTTGCCACAAGTTATTGTGTTTTTCTCTTTGGGGTATCTTGAGCAATGCGGACTGTGGCAGCTCTCAGCACCTCGTTTCTGGAGGGCACTAGGAGCCAGGGACAAAAAGATCAGACAGCTCAAGACCTGAACAGACCAATCCGCTGATGGCTGTTTCAGGTGATATACCAGGCCCAGCGTGAGCGAAAGTAGGGGGCGCAACGCTTCGATTTGCACGTATGGTTAGTTGAAGTATTTGCAGGCAGAATCTTTCCAACTCGGCGTGATGAATTTCTCATAGTGCTGATGATTCCTTTGAGCTGATACAACGTTGTCATTCCATCCCAAGAACCATGTAATCACAGCTCAGCTGATGAAGTTTGAACCATGACGAGGAACCAAGAGGCCACCAGAGGCCACCGACCTAGTATTCCTTCTCCACGGAGTGAGCAGGTGTTGAGAGTGTTGAGTGCGGAACCAACTTTCCAGAGATCCACCAATTTAGCAGGGGGCCGCTCTGGAGGGCACGGTCGAGGGTTGATTCTAGAGATGAGCATGACTTGCATTCAGTCTCTCTTGGTTCTGGTGTACTCATTGTACTTGACCCATTCTGCAGATCTTCACACGCCAGCCCCATGAGGAAGCACAGCCAGACTCAGTTTATTGGAATGTTTGAATGATCTTGACTCCATGATTGGATTCTTTGTCTACTTGGACCCTCCACATACCTTGAAAAAAGGGGCAAGCTACAATTATATATATGTAGCTATTCTACAGCAAGTATTAAGAATACCTGCTTTTGTCACATGTTCTACTGGAGTGTGAAGGGTCCAGGTATGTGTGCGGGTCGCACTTCCCCACCAGCAGTGGCTCAGAAGTCAGGACGAGCGTACGGTCCAAGAGTCAGGTCAACGCATTGAACGACGATGTTGATATGGCCAGAGTTCTTCAATAGACTTGTATACTCATCAAGATTAGTTTTTCATGCCAAGGTATTTTTTGGGGTATAAGTATAAGGTGTGTTCAATCCGAGAACCGGACACGAGTCACGGCTCAAGTCTTGAATGGGGCTGTTGGACAGCTGGAATTCCAATCCTGGTCCATTAGTCCATTAGTCTTTTTAAGGTTCATTAATAAGAGCCCCTAGTAGCGTTTTGCTCCTAGTAGCGATGCCCTTTGCTCCTAGTAGCGTCCTTGCTCCTAGTAGTAAGGCCAGGAGCTACTAGTACCGTCCTTGCTCCTAGTAGTAAGGGTTTGGCCAAGCTTGGAATCTGCTTCTTTTGCTATCCAAGACCCAGCGGATCTCCTCGGTGGGTCCTCCACAGCGCCATGCCTGGGACGATACCCCTGGATGCACCAGAACGACTGGCCAATCCCAGTGCCGCTTGGATGGGATGTGTCTTGATGCACTAGGCGGTCAGACCTAGACCTGGAGGTCTTCCAGCTTCGCAAGTTCTTTGTTGTGTTTGGTTCTGTTTAAGTTGCAAACATATTTGGACTGGAGCGCTGCTGGGTTCAATGAAGTGGACGTCGGGTCTTATATAACCGGTTTCTGATTTGATTTTCTTGAACATTGGGTTGGTGTGAACATTCCGTATCTTTTGTTCAGCAGGTTTTTTGGTGCGGCAGCCCTTGCATGACATCTGTGTTTGCTTCATTCAATTTGCGCTCACACTGCATCATTAAGCCCTACTGTCTCTTCATCAAGCCATATCTATGGAACTTTTATTTGGCAAACTTTTGAAGAGAAGATCTGTGTACTCGATTGTACACTCTTTACGAGTGGCTCATAGTCATAGTCAAGAAACCCTCTGACGCCATGGTAGTTTGCTCCTTGTAGGCAAGGTCAACCATACTTCTCTTTCGATCTCTTTTGTTTAATTACTGTCCGTCATGGTAAATCTATTTTTTGGAGCTGCATCAGCAACGAAACTTGACAAAGACAACAGCATTGTGCTTGAGAGTATCTTCCCTGACTCCAGGCATTAAGTGCACTTCAGCAGCAATACGGCGGCGGACAGAAGGTGAACGCAGACGGGAGTTGCTTCGATCTGAATTTTATTCTAATTGATATTTGTTTCTCGTCCTCCCTTAGGCCTATACGTGTCAGAGGTTCCAAACTTTTTGAATGATGCTGTCTCGATAGATGCCAGTTGGCCCGTGCTGACCTGTTTGCACTACATGGGGGTCCTTGAACATAACCTCCTGGGAAGAAGAGATGGTGTTTGCCGTTGCTGGGCCACCATGTTAAATTAGTTACTGCACATATAATTCATCAAGACTCTGCAGACTTTGATATGTTGAGAGCCACCCAATTCAACCGGTTGTTGCTATACGCTCAACACTTGCTTTCCCCGATTATGAGGTCGCACGGTCGCCCCAAAAAAACACACGCAGGTGGGCGTCCAAAGGGAAACCGTAACGCCGCAACATTCGATCGCACATCGGCAGAGAGTGTCGAATCAAAGAGTAGATCCCAGGGATCCACAATTTTGGGCGTTGATGTCTTTCCCCTTTTCCGGTCAGTGGGACTTGTATTTCTTTAGTGACTAGTTGTGGGGTGCGATCTTGAGCTCTATTCAATCTGACATGTGCAAAGGGGTTGCAAGGCATTGCAGCCTGCATGTTTACATGTTTTTCGCCGCATCTTGTTTGCAAGACTCATTCTATAGATGTCCTGGCATTGCTTTTGGATTCTTCATTCCTATGTTGGGTATGTCTGCAATTGATCGAATTCCTACCTTCTAGGGCGTTCCAGTTACTGTTACTTGCCTGGAGGCCAGGGGAGGGCCAATTTAACAGCTCTAAAGAAGTGACATTGCTATAGCCAGGCTGTTGCTGTACTAAATCCTGCTGAGTATACCCTTTGTCCAACAGTGATGCAAGAGCAAATTGCTTTCATCAAGTTATCCCACCATGAGAGGTGATTGGAAAGAAGGAAGGACATATGTACTGACAGACTATCCTGACAGATGACTTGACATGTGACATACTGCATTGTGGGCTGACATATGTATTGGCATTCCATGGCATTCCATTTTTCATGTGTACCTTCTTGCATTCTGGTATATATATATATATGGGAGCCGATTGTAAATGCAAATCTAAGAATTATGAAAGGGCATGTGTATCTCAGCATCTGCGATTGTAAAACCCTGCATCGCGGTTGATCGACGATTGGTTCGCGATTGAGACAAACATTTGTTGTATCAGAATCGACCATTGTAAGAGGAGAAATCAATACTATATGGATCTATATGGCATGATAATCATGTTACAGTTCAGCCTTACACTGTATTCAGGTCTGCCTGGACACTGTTCAATAGTGATAGCCAATAGCAAAGAAGAATCAGAACAACAAAGTTCAAAGTCTACCAGCCCAGAGCAATTCAATTCTCAAAAAAATGGCGACGAAATCCGCGATTGGTTCGCGATTGTGCCGCGATCGCTAAACCCGCCTGAGTAGGCCCTGGCTCACGCCATGTCTCTAAATACTGTGATATGTAGCAATGTTTCGACGATTCTCTGCGCAAAATAGTGTTGCATACGAGAGCACTCTCCCGCGATTGACACCGTTGGGATCGCGATTGATTCGCGGTTGATCGGCGATTGTAGCTGCCTCAGATACCTTTATTTTGATCAACACCCATATATATATATACTCTGACATTTCTGGCGGCATATGTTCTGGCATGTGCCTTGACTTTTTCAATTAAGAGCTGTCGACTTCCATGATTGGACAGAGGGTATACTTCCAACTTTGAAAGAAACAGCTTAGATGTTGGCTCCAGCCAAATGCCCGGACAGATCGTCTCAGGTTGCTATGCTCAAGTGGGGGACTTGCGGAAACGCCCGATTCCTCCACCGATGCTAGGCTCAGCGGAGAAAGTCTCTCAAAATGCGCATGCCTTTTTTTGGCGTGTGCTGGTCTAAAGGGAGCCAGCATTTATTCTCGCACTCCTTTCGGATCCTGGGTTTGTCATGGGGCTTGGAGACTATCCTGTGTGGGCCAAGGTCAGTTGGCTTGAGTGGCACGAGGCATTTGGGTTCGGTTGCATGAGGTCCAATCAATGTTGTAGGTAGGGGGTCGATTTTAGTATTTGTTACTCAATCTTGATTCTGAACTACTAGTCCTCAGCTGTACAGGAAATTAGGCAATCCAAAAAATCCGGGGCAAAAATCATGTACCATTTGAGACACCCGCATGGCGATACACCGATGGAATGAACGATTCCAATTTGTTCGGTTCATCAACCACATGACATCCGTTTAATACGTTTGCAATGTTCAATCATTAATTCTTCTCGCAATGTATTTAGTGCCCCAGATTCCCGCAGTACCCATTGTTCTTCACTTGTTCACTTGCTTGTTGGGGTAGCTACCCTATCCCCAGGTGAGCTCAGCACGTGGTGGTCCCTGTTTACATCGGTGCTCTTTATGTTTCATGTTTCTTTGTATTGATCAAACCAATATATCAAAATGTATGCCGAATCTCAACGACTGACTTTGCCCGGTTTTTTTGATACGACCAACTGGATCATGTGTTCCAGGGGCTCCACGCTGGGCCCAGTTGGAGTTTGCTCCTTGAAGCTTTTGTGGAAAACAACACATGCAAATCACGTGGTTCTGTAATTCTGTCCAGGTTTAGTCTACATGTTTAAAGAAAGGGACATATAT